ATAGCTGAGTTTCCCTGCCAGTCAGTCAGAACTGAAGAAGTCCTTTGGATGAGGGACGAAACGTCTTCCAGTATCTTCAACCAAGTCCAGTTGCCCTTCATTTTAACCTTCGTTGGATAACATCACCAGACTATCGCGAAATAAATGTTTGCTTTACGAGTGAAACTAAATGCTCCTCTTGTGTAGACATGAATAATAGGACGTTCTGTAACACATAGTTTAAGCCTATAAAAACATTGCTAGCTTGTGCTCTACACAAACCTCGTTAATAAAACAATACTTAAACGATAGATTAATCAGCCCACATGGTACATTTTTCATTCACTTTGATGAAGTCGAAACTCCGCCTTCACCGCAGCAGGGGAAACGCTTTCTGTCGGGGAGAACTACCTTGGCACGACAACAGAAGTTAGATTCTAATGGGAGAGATTAGAGATCAGAAACTTTGGTGGAAGATCTCAAACGGAAAAGATGGAAATCTTTACAGAACAAGAGATCTGTTGGAGAAGAAATGTCTGCACTTATTATGCTGTTCACATCTAAAACCATACGTGTCATTTTGTGTTTTGGGGAAATGCTCAGAAAACAGAGCCTAGAAATAAACTAAGAAATAAAGCTGCTGGAGAGTTTAATGGGCGTATTTGAAACATGTAAAGCGTGTTTCATTTCTGGGAGTTAAATTATGGGATGGACTCAGTGATGAGTAGAAACTGTGTAGCTCTCAGTGGACTTTCAAAAAGCCTGAACATGCTAAATGATTAAGTTTTACATTTTGACTTTTGTTTCGTTTCTTCTTCAGTTTCTTCCGTGTTGCTGTTATTCTGCCTTTTCCACTTGTTAGCTGTGAGATTTGTGTGAAATGGATCGCTGTGAGCATCTGTGAGATCTTTGTACTCGTTCTCTCCAGCAGCAGCAGGCCGGACTCGTCTCAGGACCCGGCCTCCTCTGGGGCCCCTGACGTGGTCTGCTTCTGACCGTGGAATGTGTCCAGACCTCCGTTGCTTCCTGCTGTTGCAGTGGAAGGATGCAGTGGCTGTTTTTGAACCCCTTTCCCGGCCTGCTTCCTGCCGTCTTTCTCTCCCCGGAGGAGGTCCAAGGAGTAACCCCAGAGACTTTGAGCCCTCCATCCACAGCCCAACTCAACCGATGCTGAGCACAGCGGACCGGACGTGCTGATCACAGCACGCCAGAGGAGCTACTTCCCTGAGTTTTGGGTAACAACAAGTCACTATATCTTCGGTATTTTCAATTGACCGTACATATAGGCAGAGGTCATAACATTCACTGTGGACGTGAGGGAGGGAGAAAGAAGCAGGCAGCCAAACACAAAGGCGCCACAAACAATCTACACATATTTGAACTACAGAGTGACCAACGAGGAGTCGATGATGGAATCCAGCTCCACACGGCCGGGGCACCTTTTCCGGTTGCCAGGATGGGAGCGGTTCGGTCTCAGGGGTTCAGTGTTGTTTTTGACTGGTGTTTCCTATTCTATACACGTTTGACAAACGTCCACCTGCATCCGACTCGGCCACTCTGGTACCGCATAGTCTTAACAGATCAGAGCGAGCAGTAACACCACGGAGCTTCCCACCGCGGGGGAACGCCTGGTGCCGAGTGCTGAATAGTTCTATGCGCACTACTTTAAATTCTAGTTGCTATGCGTGCAAGACCGGGAAACGGGCAGTTGCCTCTGCCTTACACTGCCTGCACAAATGCGGTTTCCAAATTTAAACCTTTACCACTCTCCAACGCCCGCCAGACCCCAGTCTGGGACCGCATGCTCACACGCAGCTACAAAATCGACACGACCCTGTGAGAAACTAGATGACCACTTCTCCCAGACATGAGAAATGCAAATCCTTCAAACAGCAAAGTAGCAAAGATTAAGACTATGAATTAAAATAGCTAATTTCAAGGGTAATTAAAAAAATAGGTGTTCACACACCTATGAATCTGTAGTAGCCAATAAAATTAGCTGTACACAGGTTTTCTTAACAAATCCACTGTTATGGAAATATTGTTTGACATTAACATATCACACCCTCACAGGGAAAAACACTCTATCACACAACAAGTCTTACCTTACGTGTACATAGAGGCCATTGTGGTACCCAGTGGGGAGCTTGGAGTAACTTTACAGCTGAGTTTGAATCACGTCTCTGTTGATGTGGTTTGTACATTTAACAAAAAATGTGGAGAAAGTGGATCCTTTTATTACAATCAGACGTTAAAGCTTGTGACCAGTAAATATTGAGATATTTACATTTGATTGTCTGAAAGACTAATTTAACTCATTTTAGGGAATCAATTTACAAATAAAGACCAAACTCTTTATTATCAATTCTTTCCGGTAACAGGACCACTAGATTGGTGAGTAATCACACACTTGGAAAAGCTTTATTAAACCTTATATGCAACACATCTGTTCCAAGAGATTGTAACCTGTTAATGTGTTTCTTCTGTTTTGTCCCTGACAAATAAAAAACTACATTTCAGATTTTACTTTTCGCTGATGTCCTGAGTTGCAGCTTGTATTTGACCTTGAGAGTATTTAGATTGTTGGTACAGTGAGACACAGTAACATCTAAAACCTATTGTGGCAAAGCTTCTCTTAGCGACCATGGATCAAAGTGAACTGATGTCACAGGCACAAGCTGACAGAAACGTCTCCAAACATACCGAAGAGTAAATATCAGGAAGTCTAAAGTTATACTGTGGCGTCCACATGGCCGCCTCTTTACTAATCATTAGTGATCCTTAGTAGGATCTGATTATTGATATTTGTAGGAGAGTAGACAAGCTACAGAAGATGTTTATAATTAAATACATAGAGAAGATTCACACAGCCAGGTTGTGATCATTACACAAACTTAGCACAGAGCGTGAAAGTGGAATGAGCGCGGCTGCCGGCAGGTTTCGCTTACACGAATATGAGAATCAAGAAAATGACCACAGCTTCATCTGAATTTTACAGATATGTTTATTGAATACATGGAGGTGAAAATATAAAGTCCAATAATGATGATGAGAAAATAAATCAAAGAAACATAACAAGGACATTGTCAAAGATAATGTTGGAATAATCTGAATTATAACAAAAATATCAGAAGAGATAAAATTCCTCTCTGAGATCTGAAATGCTGGAGATAAAATATCAGAGAAATCCTGATTATTAAACATGACACAATCTATGCAAACACTAAATACTAGAAATAAGATCAAATTAGTGTATTAAATGCAAAACATCAGCGACAAAGTGGACGAGGAGACGTCTCCCTGCTCCGGCCAGAGAACAGCCTGGAGACTCAGAGGAATTTCTCCAAAGTGTTTGAGCAGACTTGGCTGAACGCCCAGTCTCTCCTGGAAACTAGCATTCCTTCCTCAGCCACGTACAGTCGTGGTCAAAAGTTTTGAGAATGACACAAATGTTAATTTTTACAAAGTCTGCGGCCTCAATTCTTATGATGGAAATTTGCATATACTCCAGAATTTTATGTAGAGTGATCAGATGAATTGCAATTAATTACAAAGTCCCTCCTTTCAATAAAAATTAACTTAAACTTAATCAGGCATGTGATTGGCAAAAAAGCAGGAAAATATACTGACAATTCTCATAAGTTTTCTGTTCTTTTCTTGGCGCCATGCTTAGACAAAGTTTTTTTAGTTTTTAGTCTTGCTGACAAAACATCCCTGCATTTCCCTAAAAGGAGTTTGTTCACAAACCACAAGACCCTTTGACCAAACATAAGCATATTTAAACATAATTAAACATATGTGAAACTATCATAATCATTACATATTACTGTTAGGGGTGGGAATCTCTGGGCACCTCATGATTTGATTCAATTCGAATCCAATTCAAAATCCAAAATAAACATCTCCTAATTAGCTTAAAAGGACTAGTTTGCATCCCTAATTAACTTCATTAACCTCAGCTCTGTGATCTCTCATTTCTTCAACAACCATCTGTCAGACTCTGAAAACTGAAATATAATAATCAGGATGTTCAGTCTGTGAACAGGACAGAGCTGCACACCAGTTCAGTCTGAGCTCGTGCCTGATGTTCTCAAACCTGGACAAAAAGGTAAGTTAGTAATGACATACAGCTGAGCTGAGAATTTAGCTAACGTTACATAACCGACGGGACTAAGCAGCAACGGGCCCGACGGGCCTGAAGCACTGCAGCCTCTGCTGTGGCAGATGCAAAGCAGCGGGTGTGGGAGAAGCTCAGAGAAGACATGGAGAAGGACTTTCGGTCGGCACCAAAGTGCTTCTGGAGAACTGTCCGCCATCTCAGGAGGGGGAAGCGGGGAACCGTCCAAGCTGTGTACAGTAAGGATGGGACCCTGCTGACCTCAACTGGGGAGGTAATTGGGCGGTGGAAGGAACACTTTGAGAAACTCCTAAATCCGACTGATCCTCTCTAGTAGAGGCAGAGCTGGAGGCTGATGGGCGTTTCCCGTCAATTTCCCTGGAGGAAGTCACTGAGGTAGTAAAACAACTCCACAGTGGCAAAGCCACAGGGATTGATGAGATTCGCCCAGAAATGCTAAAAGCTTTGGGTGTGGAGGGGCTGTCTTGGATGTCTCTTTAACATTGCGTAACATAAGTCGGGTACAGTGCCCAAGGAGTGGCAGACTGTGGTGGTTCCCCGTTCAAAAAGGGGGACCAGAGAGTGTGTGCCAATTACAGGGGTATCACACTTCTCAGCCTCTCCAGAAAAGTCTACTCCAGGGTGCTGGAACGGAGAGTTCAGCTGATAGTCGAACCTCAGATCGAAGAGGAACAATGCGGTTTTTGTCCTGGTCATGGAACAACTGACCAGCTCTTTACTCTCACAAGGATCCTGGAGTGGGCTTGGGAGTATGCCCATCCAGTCTACATGTGCTTTGTAGATCTGGAGAAGGCGTATGACCGGGTCCCCCGGGAGATACTGTGGGAGGTGCTGCAGGAGTATGGGGTGAGGGGGCCCCTTCTCAGGGCTATCCAAACCCTGTACATCCAAAGCGAGAGCTGTGACCGAGTACTCTGCAGTAAGTCGGACTCTTTCCAGGTGAGGGTTGGCCCTCGCCAGGGCTGCACTTTGTCACCAATCCTGTTTGTGATATTCATGGACAGGATATCAAGGTGTAGTCGTGGCGAGGAGGGGCTGCGGTTCGGTGGGCTTGGGATCTCGTCACTGCTTTTTGCGGATGAGGATTAGCACCTCTAAATCTGCGGCCATGGTGCTCAGCAGGAAACCGGTGGAGTGCCACCTCCAGGTAGGGAATGAGTCCATACCCCAAGTGAAGGAGTTCAAGTACCTCGGGGTCTTGTTCACGAGTGAGGGGAGATTGGCCGGAGAATCGGAGCAGCGGGGGCGGTAATGCACTCACTTTACTGAATCAGAATCTTGCACGTTTTTCTCCCACCCGATTACTGTAATGTTTAGTTGGCCCAGAGCCACCTCCTTACTTTTTAGATTACAGTGCAACACTGTTTACTTAAATGTAAAAATGTGCAAAGTTCACATAAAAAAGCTATAACTTTATTTAGTTTAACCCCGGCGCTCTCACAGAGCTGAAGTGATGATGGTAAATCTTCAGGGCTCAGTCTGCAGGTCCAGAGGGAGCACGTTTAGATTCAGTTAAACTTTGTCTTGAAATGGATTCTTTCTAACAAAAAGAAACCTGGAAGACCAAAACTGACCTCGTGGGATGAGCCAGCTAAGACTAGTTTTACTGGGGTTTATGGCCCAATATTTCTTATCCGTGTGCACCTCTGCCATTATGGAACTGCAACAGGTGCCTGCGTCTCCAGATTGGAAACATGGTGGTCTTGAAGAATCAAAGAGAACCTTTTATTTAAGAATAAATATCTTCCCCTCAGCTGGCGCCAACACGAGTGGATCTGTATCAATTAGATTTGGCTTTGCTTTCTGTCTGAACAAGACCACGTTCACTAACAGCAAATATAAACAGTGAACACAGAAATACAGATATTTTAAGTTAATTCCAGTAAGGACGTGTTCAACTATAACAAGATAGCAAATAATAATAAGTGTGTGACGACAGCAGGATTGGGAGGAGGAAGGACAGGACAGTATGTTGTGGGGTGGTGATGGCGCAATGGATAAGACACATGCCTTTGGTGTCCTGAGCAAGACACTTAACCCCTCGTTGCTCCAGAGGTGTGCGACCTCTGACATAAATAGCAGCTGTAAGTCACTTAGGATAAAAGCGTCAGCTAAATGAATTAATGTAAATGTAGTTGCAGCCACATTACTATACATGCTGCTGAAAATATGAAGTTACTGTTGTGTATCCGTCAGTTTGTAGAGAAGCTCACAATATAACAACACAGCTATCAGGGTAGGGGGAGGAGGAAACAGCTAGCTTTGCTCTGAAGAATGTTCACAACAAAGCAGCGTGACTGTGTTGGTGGACTTTAAGGTGACTACTCTGAGCAAAGATTTTCCCACATTGTTCACACCAGTACGGTTTCTCTCCAGTGTGAACACGTTGATGGATTTTTAGTTTAGATGATGAGGTGAAAGTTTTCCCACACCGGTCACAGCTGTACGGTTTCTCTCCAGTGTGAATACGTTTGTGGACTTTTAGCACATCTGATCTAGTGAAAGTTTTCCCACACCGATCACACCAGTACGGTTTCTCTCCAGTGTGAACACGTCTGTGGATTTTTAGGTCATTTGATGTAGTGAAAGTTTTCCCACACTGGTCACAGCTGTACGGTTTCTCTCCAGTGTGAACACGTTGGTGGACTTTTAGGTTACCTGATGTAGTGAAAGTTTTCCCACATTGGTCACAGCAGTACGGTTTCTCTCCAGTGTGAACACGTTGGTGGGCTTTTAGTACATCTGATGTAGTGAAAGTTTTCCCACACTGGTCACAGCTGTACGGTTTCTCTCCAGTGTGAACACGTTGGTGGACTTTTAGGTTACCTGATGTAGTGAAAGTTTTCCCACATTGGTCACAGCAGTACGGTTTCTCTCCAGTGTGAACACGTTGGTGGGCTTTTAGTACATCTGATCTAGTGAAAGTTTTCCCACACCAGTCACACCAGTACGTTTTCTCTCCAGTGTGAATACGTTGGTGGACTTTAAGGCCAAGAGATTTATTGAAAGTTTTCCCACACCAGTCACACCAGTACAGTTTCTCTCCAGTGTGAATACGTCTGTGGATTTTAAGGTCACCTGGTTTATTGAAAGTTTTCCCACACTGGTCACAGCTGTACGGTTTCTCTCCAGTGTGAATATGTTTGTGGACTTTAAGGTTAACTGATTTATTGAACGCTTTCCCACACTGGTCACAGCTGTACGGTTTCTCTCCAGTGTGAATACGTTGGTGGACTTTAAGGTTAACTGATTTATTGAACGCTTTCCCACATTGGTCACAGCTGTACGGTTTCTCTCCAGTGTGAATACGTTGGTGCATTTTTAGGTGACCTGATGCAGTGAAAGTTTTCCCACACTGGTCACAGCTGTACGGTTTCTCTCCAGTGTGAACGCGTCGGTGGACTTCTAGGTTACCGGACTGAGTGAAAGTTTTCCCACACTGGTCACAGCTGTATGGTTTCTCTCCAGTGTGAACGCGTCGGTGAACTTCTAGGTTTCCTGACTGAGTGAAGGTTTTCCCACACTGGTCACAGCTGTACAGTTTCTCTCCAGTGTGAACTCTCTGATGAATCTTTAAATATCCAGATCTTGTGAAGGATTTGTCACAGTGCTGGCAGCGGTGACATTTGAGTCCATGTCTTCCTCTCCGTTCCTACAGCAACAGAGAGACAGAGATAAAGACAGTAAGTGAGACGTCAGGTGGAGGAAACTATGGCTGGGTATCGAGTTAAATAATTTTTAGGCACCGACCAAATTGCTTTAATACCATCGAGTATCAAAAAGTGTCTTGTCTTTTAGTACCAAATTTCAATACCTAAAAGGTTCTTGTTAACGTCAATGAGCCAATAAGCATGCATCGTGCTTGATGTGCCCAAATCTAAAAGTGATTGGAATTGGCTATGGTGATGTAAAAGACGTGGAGAAAATCAAAAGTATGGCTACATTGCACCGGGCTTGATGCAACAATATTTGCGACGTAAGATAAAAGACCGGCAACACGACAAACACGGTGAAGCCCTTTGACTGTGCATGGAATAAACTCTTTAGTCTTTGACTGCACGAAGACAGAGCCGGTCTCATCGTCTCAGCGCCCTCCTGCCACTGAGCCTGCTTCAACATGCCCACCATCCGAGCAGTGTTGAGCAGTAGCGTCGCTACAAGTAGCGCCGTTACTGCACTGCTCAAAAAAAATAAAGGGAACTCTTAAACAACACTGTGTTGTAACTCCAAGTTAGTCACACTCCTGTGAAATCAAACTGTCCACACTGCCACACTGATTGACAATCAATTTCACATGCTGTTGTGCAAATGGAAAAGACAACAGGTGGAAATTATAGGCATTTAGCAAAGACCCCCCCAATAAAGGAGTGGTTCTGCAGGTGGTGACCACAGACCACTTCTCAGTTCCTTTGCTTCCTGGCTGATGTTTTGGTCACTTTTGAATGCTGGCGGTGCTTTCACTCTAGTGGTAGCATGAGACGGAGTCTACAACCCACACAAGTGGCTCAGGTAGTGCAGCTCATCCAGGATGGCACATCAATGCGAGCTGTGGCAAGAAGGTTTGCTGTGTCTGTCAGTGTAGCGTCCAGAGCACAGAGGCGCTACCAGGAGACAGGCCAGAACATCAGGAGACGTGGAGGAGGCCGTAGGAGGGCAACAACCCAGCAGCAGGACCGCTACCTCCGCTTTTGTGCAAGGAGGAGCAGGAGGAGCAAAATGACCTCCAGCAGGCCACAAATGTGCATGTGTCTGCTCAAACGGTCAGAAACAGACTCCATGAGGGTGGTACGCGGGCCCGACGTCCACAGGTGGGGGTTGTGCTTACAGCCCAACACTGTGCAGGACGTTTGGCATTTGCCAGAGAACACCAAGATTGGCAAATTCGCCGCTGGCGCCCTGTGTTCTTCACAGATGAAAGCAGGTTCACACTGAGCACGTGTGACAGACGTGACAGAGTCTGGAGACGCCGTGGAGAACGTTCTGCTGCCTGCAACATCCTCCAGCATGACCGGTTTGGCGGTGGGTCAGTAATGGTGTGGGGTGGCATTTCTTTGGGGGGCCGCACAGCCCTCCATGTGCTCGCCAGAGGTAGCCTGACTGCCATTAGGAGCGAGATGAGATCCTCAGACCCCTTGTGAGACCATATGCTGGTGCGGTTGGCCCTGGGTTCCTCCTAATGCAAGACAATGCTAGACCTCATGTGGCTGGAGTGTGTCAGCAGTTCCTGCAAGAGGAAGGCATTGATGCTATGGACTGACCCGCCCGTTCCCCAGAACTGAATCCAACTGAGCACATCTTGGACATCATGTCTCGCTCCATCCACCAACGCCACGTTGCACCACAGACTGATCGGGAGTTGTCGGATGCTTTAGTCCAGGTCTGGGAGGAGATCCCTCAGGAGACCATCCGCCACCTCATCAGGAGCCCAGGCGTTGTAGGGAGGTCATACAGGCACGTGGAGGCCACACACACTACTGAGCCTCATTCTGACTTGTTTTAAGGACATTACATCAAAGTTGGATCGGCCTGTAGTGTTTTCCACTTTCTTGAGTGTGACTCCAAATCCAGACCTCCATGGGTTGATAAATTTGATTTCCATTGATCATTTTTGTGTGATTTTGTTGTCAGCACATTCAACTATGTAAAGAAAGTATTTAATGAGATTATTTCATTCATTCAGATCTAGGATGTGTTATTTTAGTGTTCCCTTTATTTTTTTGAGCAGTGTAGTTAACTACATTTCTCAGTAGCAAGGTGGCAGCGTTGCTGTTTTCTGAATCAAATAGCTTTTCAGTAACAAAGCACTTTTATTGACCGAGTAGCTTCCACACACGCTACATTTTCCGAAGCATTTCTGAAGGGTCAGTAAGAGACGCCACCGCCACACACGGACGATTTTTAATTTTATTTAAATATATTAGTGGTGCATGTATGAAAGTGGAGGAGCAGTAATGCTAAAGTGTACCTTGTCTTTGAGAGTACGGAGTGGACCATGGTGAGATAGAAAACAACACGATTGTAAATGCCTATTTTAATATACCACTTATAAGAAATGATACTTAAGATCATTTTCTTTCCCTTCTCTCAGTGTCTGCATCCCGTCTCAGCTTATGAGCTTATTTTCCACACAACAATTCAGGTTTATTTACCCACATTAATACATCATAGTGGCTCAATGCACCATATTGGTGATCACTCAATTCTTACTGGATATGTTTACTCTAATTACAAATTCATATCACATCAGAGTTCCTGTGTGTGAGAACTGTTTGAAAAAATAAAAACATTCACTAACTAACAAACTATCTAGTAACTGATGCCAACATCAGCAGCAAAAGCTGTTGATGAAGTTCCAAAATTTACAATCCACAACTTTCTCAATCAAACCTGTAGCCTTTTACAAAAAAGGTTGAATTGAGAGCAACTGGAATTCTGACACATCCAGATGCTCCCGATTCAACTTTTCTTGGATAACCATGAGTTAAAATTGTGGGCAGGGCAGCGAGTTAAAAATAAATTTTTACGATGAAATTTTAAGCTGGCTCCACTCTGACGAGGTCACGTGCTCTAACTCCAACATTCCGCTCCATCCGCTGCCATTATAAACTCAGAAAGTGCTTGAAATCTTTATAAAACTATAATAGAGATGGTGAAAAAACTGCAGAAGCTATCAAAAACTTGAATACACGTTTAATAGAGAAAAGATTTGTAAACAATTGACAGTTGAATTGATGAATGTAGCTGAAAGTATGCAGAAGCAGTAGCCTTTGAAAGTTGAAGAAGTTTTAAGAGTTGAATATTTCTCCATTCACTTAAATGTTAAAAATTGCATAAAAAGCCTAATAGTTTAAAATGTATAAAAGGTAGAATAAAGTTATATAATAACATAAATGTCCTTAAAAAGCTGAACATTGTAATAGTTGAATAGTTTTTGTAGCACAAAGTATGCAGTAGGAGTAGTCAAGCAAAAAACGTACGGAAGAAGAAGAAGAACTAGAAAAGCTATTTCTGAAGAAATTGCGGTGTGAATGCTGTCTGCTGAATGGCTTGCGCTAAACTGAATTGCTGTCTTGAACAAATTTGAATAGTATAAATGTATGAAAGATGTGGACTGTAGAAAAGCTGACGCTAAACTGAACTGCTGGCTTTAATGTGCAGAAAGTAGCTGAAGGACTATGAAATCTTGGAAACACGGGAAATGTTCTAAAGAATATGAATAAGATTTTAAAGTTGAATAAACTTCAAACTGCACTGATTAATGTAAAACACTTTTAGGTTCTTCCTTGAATACCCACCCATCTCCACTGTCCACAGATTGATTTGGCTGCTCCAGGAACCAGAGCTTAGAGAATCCGACTCGAGTGCGACTTAAGTCGCACACACAGCGACTTGAGACTCGTCCTCAAAAGACTCGACTCGGACTCCAGGTGCAGGACTCGTGAACAATGTTTATTTTTAGGAGATGTCTGATGAGCTTGCCGTTATTCCCTCCCTGTGTTACCTATATCCTGCCTACGTAACACGTAGCATCTGCTGCGCGCGGCCGCACGTGAGAGCGGACAACAAACAGCGGCAAGCGGCTGAGCCGTTCATCAAAAACTTTGGCTTTAAAACTTCATACAACAAGACCCAAACAAAGACGCGCTGAACACAAAATAGGTTAGTAACCTGAGGTGAGTGAACATGTTTAGCTCAGAATCGGCCATCTAACGTAAGCTTGCTTCTTGCTTCAGCTACGACCTACGAGAGGTTAACTCCGACTGTCGTTCGTTATGAAAAGATGAATGAGCGTTTGTTTACTTGCCAAACTTGTGGTGGTCGATTAACGTAATCATTTACGTCCCGCTGGCTGCCGTCACGTTAATTATTACCGTAAGCTAGAGAGAGGTTACAGGTTTCAGTTTTTCCTCCAGGATTTTTTTTCCAGCAGCGAAACCCCAACATGTCTCAGCAGCTCTTGTGTCCATGAGCTTGCGATGCACCTTAGAACAGCTTCAAACTGCAGTGTTTCCCAGTTTAATGTGAGATTTAGATGAATGTTTTGGTGCTGGTTTGGGGGTGCTTCCCAATGAAAAATATGTAATTTCACATCACATTGGGCCGTTATTTTCACCATATCTCTGAACAAATAGTTGGAAAAGCTCGAGCAGATAATAAATAACCAACAGCCAAAGATCCGTCTGCTGGAGGAACGACAACCTTTAGATCTGGAGAAAGTAATTTGGTTGGTTCTGATGCTCCACAGTGATTTTACAGCGATGGCACAGCATGTTTTGGGCATCAGCCCCTAAAACCCTGATAATGTGACCTCAGAATCATTATAGACACGACTGTTCATGTTGCCTTCTGTGACATTTATCTGTAGACATTAATATAAAAAACAGGCAGCGTGAGAAACCTCCTCCCTTCTGAGGTGCATTTTATTTACACATTAAAATCCAGAAAGAAACGTCTCCTCATCAGTTTAACAGGACGAGTTTGCATCAGTAATTAGCTTCACTAAGCTCAGCTCCTCCAGTCTGTGCAGGACGGAGCTGCAGGCTGCACCAGTTTAGTCTCAGTTTGGACCTGATGTTCTCAACATGAACACGTAGGCAGTAATAAAATGCAGCTTCCAGTTACTTTCTATAAATGAGCTAATGTTCTGTAGCTGCTGTAGAAGCTGCTCAGGCTGAAGGGGAGATGTTCGCTAACTCAGCGCTAACAGGCTTCACTTTCCCAGCAGCTGGGAAACAACAGACTTTTCTTGGCCTTGAGAAGCCGACGCTCTGTAACAGACACCGGACATTTACTGCCAGAATATTTTCCTCCGCTCGGACAATCAAACGCTCGCTGCGCAGCTCCTGATTCAGAGCGACGCTGCTCTTATATCATCTGTCACGTGTGTTCTGCACAGAACGAGGACAGGAAGCGAGCCGAGCGTTGAGTTTAATGATCATGTCGTGATTCAGCAGCGCCAGGGGAAACACTGGGTTTATTGTTGATCATGTAACTTTACAGTTTTATTTAGTTATAACGTTACACTGCTTTGAGAGTCTGCAGGGTGTGTTGACTTACAGTAGTTTAAGCTGTCATTTACTGCAGTGCACATTACATGGTTGTGCTCTGCAAGTTAAAAACAGGTTACAGGTTTATTGTTGATTATAGAAACGTCACAGTTTTATTTAGTTAACGTTACACCGGGAGTCTGGGGAGTGTGTTGACTTACAGACTTTCCTTATAGCTCTGCAGTTTTATAAGCAACCTGGATTGAACGCAGCAGGTGATACAACATTCATAATAACCACAACAGACTTGAGACTTGACTTGGACTCTAGCTCAGAGACTTGTGAGCATCTCTGTCACATATCCAGGCCGAGTTCTGATTTGCTTAAGGAAATGTTATACGCACGTGCTGCATTGAAGACATTTCTGATTCAGGACTCTGACCCTTAAATTTGCCAGACAGAATCTAGACTGCCTTCCTAGAGAATATATCACGTGCAAACTTCCCTCCAGATTAGATGCTTTCTATAAGGTCTGGGACCCTTACTTGCAGCAGATTGGGCCCACGCCGCCATCCTCCTGGCTTCCCTACATCAGCCTAGCTGGTCTTTATGACTTTGTTTTTAGTGCTCACTATCTAACAAGCACCTTGTAGCCTTGCTGGGTTTGTGTGCTCTGTATTGATTCTTCTCTGGAGACTGAAAGGGAGGAGGCTGGATGGCAAATGGCTCCGCTGTCATTTATCTTTTATCTCATAATTATTTCCTATTTACTGTACCCACACGCCCACACTCGAGGAAATACGGTGACTGACGCTTCATCAGGAAAATCAGTGGAACACCAAGATGACGGCCTGTTGCAGGTTTAGTAAGGAGGGACACGCTGTTGGGACCCCGGGGACTTCACAGGTGAACTGGTTCATTTATGTGGTCTAAACTGAACTTCTATCAAGGGAGTCACTGAACTCCGGACAGACACAAAGCTTTAACATGCTAACTCCATTTAACGTGGCACCGTTACACAGACCACATACATACAGTGGCAAGAAAAAGCATGTGGACCTTCTGGAATTTCATAGTTTTCTGAACAAATTTGTCATAAAAGGTGATCTGATCATCATCTAAGTTAAAGTTATTGACAAATATAATGTGTCTAAAATAATTTAAAAGAACTTTCAAAGTGAAAACCTCATAATGCTTGTGGAAAAAGTATGTGAACCTTTGAGTTAATGAACTCTAATTGGAGGTTTTAGCACTCCTGGAGTCTCGTTAAGAAAATGAGTTTGGAGGTGTGGCCTCCAGCTACTTTGACTGATAAAATCCCCTCTAACTTTTGGAGTTTGCTCTGTACAAGAAGCACACGCTCATGTGAGCCACGCCTCGCCAAAAAGAGCTTCCAAAAGGATCAACGATCAAGAATTGTTGATTTACATAAAGCTGGCAAAGGTTACAAAGTGATTTCAAAGTCTACATTTTGGCAAACATTCAACAAATGGAGCCACTTTGGGACTGTTGCTATTTCTCTACCAAGAATGGGCGCCCAGTCAAAATGACACCAAGAGCACAACGAAGACTCAACAATGAGGTAAAGAAACAACCTCAAATGACAGCCAACGATTTGAAGGCATCATTGGAACAGGCCAACATCGTAAAACATTAACCAAGCAGGGAATCTGTGGCAGGACTCCGGGAAGGAAGCCACTGCCGGAGCACTCAGATTACAGAGCGTCCATCGAGATGGGGACCAAGGCAGAAGATGATTGAGGTGCTGGAGCAGAGCGAGGCCTCGCGAAGACGCGTCACCTGCTACCCACTTGGCAGGACACGTGTCCTTGAATCTCCAGGAGATCACAGATGATCTTTCTCTCGTATGTAAGCGTTTCATACCTGAAGCCAGTCCTGCATCTCTTTAGAAGCTCAACTCTGGCTGGAAATGAAGAGGACACAGACCTTCCAAAGGTCAGAAAGTCAAGAGCACTTCCTGGAAGAAAGATCCAGTGACCCAGCTACACCGGAGCTTCTACAGATCACTTCATTCCTCGATTTAAGGTTCAAGATGAAGTCCATCAGTCCCAGACATGAAACGAACAGCTGGCACGAAAGGTAACGCTTATACATCTGCAGTCAGGTGAACATAAGATGCAACATGACATGGGAGTGATTGTATTTTTAATGACACAGATTGGCATTTTTATACATCTATGTTTATTATTAGAACTTTAGTCTTTGTAAAAAGTGAGTTTGTTTCAATGTAGCTCGCTTACTAAAAGAAAAACACTTCATCTCTCGCTTCTCGTCCTTAAAGTAGAATGTAAAGTGGTTTTGACGGCGTCTCATGTTGTAATGCTCCATCACACGTTTTATCTCTTACAGAGTGAATATTGAACTTCAGCTAAACTTCAATTAAAAAAAATGTAAAAAACAAATTGCAGATCGAATCATAATCACAATATTGGGCAGAAAAATCGCAGTTAGATTTCCCCCCACAGGCGTCGCTAGACACTTTTTACTGGGACACGCACCCCAGTATTCATGCTCTGTGCCCCAGTAACAGGGTCAAGACACCTTGGCGTCGTTTTTGACCACGTAGGGCTCCGCAGTCAACTTAGCAACAACAGTAATAACATAATAATGTTGCAGGTGTTATTAACAATAATAACATAATTTTCCGTCAATCCGGATTATTAAATTAGCAATAATAAAGATGCAACGTCCGGTTACGCTTTCAAAATAAGACTACAGGTTAAAGTGACCGTTACCGTTTTGAAACGTCGCTAAAAAGGAGGTAAAGGTGAGAGCGAGTGCCTGTAACGAGGACGAGAGGATGACGAGGAGGGACTGTCCTTCTGGGCACAACAAGAACGTCGGGAACAGCAGTCAGGTAAACTTGTGTTCTCTCCACTCAAAGCCTGATGTCAGCGGATCACAGTAATGTTAGCTGCAGCCCGTGCGTCCTGCTAACCCAGCTGGGAAGTGTGTCTGAACGACGTTACAGTGAATTACAACTTTTTATTACGTGTGATAACTGCCGACCGGACACGGTGTTTAGAAACGCGCGTGCATGAAATTAAACTCGGGCATTCGAGCAGCAACATAAGTGGGACCAGTCCAGAGAGACACCGGTGTCACGGTAGGCTACTCCTCACAGCGACGCCGTGCTTTTAAAACAACACAGCGATTATCTGTACAACTCTGTACTAATGCAAGATGGAAAGCAGTGGATTCACATTGACTAATGATTATTAAAATGTTGATTAGCCGGGCAGACTGGACGCACATCTCTCAGTAAATAATAAACAAAACGTATTCAGTCATGTAGTATTTTCCATTTTGAAATAAAAGAGTGGCCCTGATGGAGCTGAGAACATTAATATCTAGCAAGTATTGTTATCTATAATTTACAGGTGCTATGCAGAAGTTTGTCAGTAGATGCTGGATCATCAGCCAGTACCAGCGCAGACCTCTTTAGCAGGTCCCACAGACCAGGTGAGATACAGGGAGCCTCGGCCAGTAGTACAGAAGCTGGAGACACGATGTCCCCACCACTTTATGAAAGTACTGCGAAAGTAACTTAAGCTAAAAAAAGCAAGTTGCTGATTATTATATTTTGTCCTGAATGTTGTTTGTCTCATTCATATATATATAAACCAAACAGACATTAGTCTCCACAATGCACTCCTAATCTGAGAAAATTTCACCACCACTTTTAAGCACAAAGCGTAGACGTAGAGCCAGCAGCTCAGACCCTAACGGAGCAGCAGATTGGCCCCGGTCCTTAAAGAGGACTGCGTTAGTGTGCAGAGGTTCATTCAAACCATTTTCCATCCAGACTTCTTACTGAGACAGACTGAGTTCCGCAGCGTCGGCTGTGACTGAGCAGCGATGGAAAAGTGTTTACATGGCTCACGAGTCAGGTATGAGGGCCCCAAAGCAGAACCTTTTAGGTCCCAGTGAGGTCAGGACCGGCTCAGGTACGTGCGCTTACGGTCCAGTCAAAGCCCTTTCTGACATATCACCATATTTACAATATTACCGTGACGAGGAAGGGAAGCCGGTAAATCCCGACACATCAGACCGTCCTCAGACGTTCATGGGCTCTGTGTTTATTATAAACATCCTCCTACTGCGCCTGCGCTCCTTCTCCGCACAGATGATTGGTGCTCGTGTAGTTTTTGAACCAGGGCCGGATCCAGCAGCAGCAGCGACCCCTGACGGGAACAGGTCTAGTGAACCTGTAGGAAACGGAACAAGGGGGCACGTGCTGCCCTCAGGAGCAGGCGGACCCGGTAACAAGTCCTGAACACTGACCTGAACACCGGGGCTGTCGGAGCTCGAGCCTGCCGCTGGGCTCCCGGGGACCCCGCTCCGGGGCTCCCGGTTCCGCCGGTCCATTCCGGTCTCCTCCGGGACTGCTCTTCAGGCTGAGATCCGGGTCCAAGGTCTGCGGCTCCTTGGTTTCCCGGCAGGCCGCTTCTTCTGTCCCAGCTGACGAAACGCCTCGTGTCGCCCGCGCGCTGTGATCCGCGAGCAGCCGCGCGCTCACCGTCTTTCCGCCATTCGCGTTAGCTGGAGGGCTAAACCGGAAGTTAGCCCGCGCGGGGCCGGAAACGCCGCAGCGCCACCGCCGAGCAGCGTCTGTCGGTGTAACTGCAGAGCGACGCCTGCGGCCAGGAGTGGAACTGAAAAAACATAAAAACTAGTTAGTTTCAGTCATTTTAAGGTATTTTGTCCAATAGGGTGAAGTAAACTTTTTGGTAAATTGCCTTTTAAACAGCCTAAATCAGTTAGAATGTATTAAAATCGTATGTATTTATTAAAAATAGGTTGTTGTGAAGACATCTATGGTGAAATTAAGCCAATTTATTGATTTATTATCAAATTGTTTATCTTTATACATCATCTGTCACCATCTTCGGCAAACTGGAAGCAATCAGGTTGAGTGGGACACTTTATGGGACACTATATTATTTAAAGTTAAAATAAAACAAACACATGAGAAATACTTTTTTACAACATTTAACAACACATTAATAGGCATTTTAAATATTATATTAACATTTAACAGCATATATAATGTGTTGGTGTACAGTAACTCAAAGAGATATAATTTAGTTAAAGATATTCAACAATGTGTGGGAAAAAAAAATCATGTTTGCAAGTAGCCTAAAGACAAAATGTCTTCAGTTTATTAATACTAGGCTATGTAAGTAAGTTATTAAATGCATTTCTGAAACTTCTTCTTTTACCTGATGCCTCTCAGCGGCCCTTTCACTCACTTTTGTAATGTCAGTTTCAGGGTGTTTCATGCCTTGGCTAAAAACCTTACTTATTTATTTATTGCTTTTGCTCAGTGTACTTAAGACATAACAGTAAGTTGTTTTATAAAATTATAACATGCTTATTGACTTGACTTGGCTTTAGCCCCCCTCCCCCGCCTAATAATAATTCTAAGCCGCAAAATAAAAACAGTCAACATTTGGTCTCTAATTTATTTATGCTAAATTTAAAAAAATCCTAACCATTCCTGCACAAAAATGACTGTAGGTTGCAGTTTTACTCGCACATCATAAATCCTTTTTGTGGTTCACACGTATCTATTTTAGGGGCAAATGATTTGATGACGATTTTAGATCCCTCAGTACAGCGGGGACCAATTTAAGTGCGACACACAACAAAACATAATGCTGATCCGCTGATAGCTACAGTCAAAAAGACATTTTCAGGGCGATATCATACCGAATACGTTTACCCGCCAAAACATTTAGACGCCAAATGGAAAATCTACCCGTATTTGGCGCTTGGCAGGTGTTAATTTCCCGCCCTGCCTCCAACTTTTCATCAGCAGATGGAGTCATGAAGGGGTTCAGCTTCAGACCATCTGTAGTTTCCAGCTGTGTGTCTGCAGGGCTGCAGCTCTGGGGACTGACTGCCTTTAATAAAACAAGAACCAACTTACTGGGCTGCTGATCTTCCATTATAGGAGGACTGGCTGCTTTCTGTTGAAGCTGACAGGATTACATTTATTTTTTTACATTTATTTATTTGCACACGTAAAATTACATAGAAATGACAAAGAAAATAACAAATGATATAACCTGCGGAAGAGGCAGGAAACCCAAACGGGCTGATTTAACGCCTCCACCTATAGTTAAAATCAAAGTAAATAATAACATAGAGAGAAAAATATAACTCCATAAAGTAATGACAACATAATAATATAGAAACATCTATAACATCAACAAGTTCATTTTAATGACAGTAACAATAATAGAAATATAAGAACAAAAATATGAACAGTATAAAAGCAAGTTTGTTTCTGTATTAGAATCATAAAACAGCAGTTAAACAGGCTTTTAAATATCTTTAGTAACATTTTAATGAGGAGGAGTTTAATGCCAGGCTGAATCCCAGAATCTGGTGCCCCTAAATCTGAGAGTAAATCTGCACGTAAGAAACTTTGGAGGATGAAGATCTAATGATTGACGCGTTGAATCAGAGTGAACCTGGGTGTTAAAATAAATCTTGAATATTCCATATAAATAAAAACACATGTTTGAGTGATATTAATCTCATGAACAGCGAGGTCTCTGAAATAGAGGGACGGATGAAGAATGGGACTCAGATCGGGTTGCAGTCCTAACAAAGCGTTTCTGTAGGACCAAAGTTCTGCGGAGCGTAGCAGGAAAACTATATTCCAATATGAAAGATGTGGAGAAATGAAACTGTAATAGAGTGTAAGAAGACACAAGATTATTAATCCTCCTAATTATCCCAACAGACTGATTTATTTTCTTGCTAACCCAGTCAGTTTGTGTTTTCCAGACTCTCTGCACACAGTTTGCTCCTCCAGCGACTTTAAAGTGAAAACTATCATCTGCTGAAGCTCCTCTGCTGCTTCCTGTCAGTCTGTTCCTCCATCAACAAGTACATTTACTCCACCGCTGTACTCAAGTACAGCACTCAGGTACTCGTACTTCACTGGAGTCTTTTCTTTTCTTGCTACGTTCTACTTCTACTCCACATCTCAGAGGGAAACGTTGTACTTTTACTTCACTACATTTATCTGACAGCTTCAGTTACACATGAAGAGTTTTACACACAGAACACAGGCAGAGCTTCTAAAATAAAAAACCCAACAGTTTATACAAGTACAGCTGAAAGTATTAGTCGATTAACAGAAAATGAATTGGCCCCTTTTTTGATCGTTCATCTAAAAACATTTTCTGGTTCTCAAATGTGAAGAATCGCTGCTCCGCTTTCCTTTGAATGATTTGAATCATGTTTTTAACAGAACGTTTCCTGGTACGTGATCTAAATCCTCCACGCCAGACTCTACTACTCTAAACGGTCCGTTTAGCTTCAGCAGCTGGATTCTGCTTTCACATGAAAGAGTCATTAAAAGAAACTATTTTAATGCTAAATTATTTTATCTTAGAATCTCAGAAGCTTAAACATGTCGACTCAGCACAGAAGCTGTTGTTTAGGTGGTTGTTAACTTTTCAGGGGCCATAAGGGTCCCACACCCGAGAGGCCCTCAGTAACAACAGAGCCAGAACAGGTAGAATCATTAAGTGCAGCTTCCAGCAGATACAAGCCGAACTGCTTCTGCACGTTACAGTAAGGGAGGAAGACGTGAGCTAAACGACACATTAGAAGAAATCAAAGCAGCTCGTTCAGTCACTAAACGCCAGGGATTTCCTGTCAGAGCACAGCAGCATCCAGAGAGAGGAAAAGCATGAAGGAGAGAGCAGAAGATGGAGGAACAGCAGCACTCTGTTGAAGGACAGAAGCCGGCTTATTTTTGGAAAATCCTCCCTGTAGGGAGAAGCTGTGTTCTGCGGAGCCCTGATCTTCAATCCGTTCCAGAAAGAAAAGGAAAAGAACTTACACGCTGAGAAATGAGTAGATAATTGAGAGAAAAGATGAAGAGAGAGTGAGACAGAGGGAAGGAAGTGTTTTATATCTCGGCCTGAGTGATCTGCAGGATCCTCTAGTCACCTGTAAACGCGCAAGTAGGTGGAGAGATCTGGATCAAAGTGGCCGCGGACAGACGTGTCCTGGTTTTCTCTGTGGTGTCTGAGGGTTTTTGGGGTTTCCAGCTGATAAGTTAGGTTTGCAGCGCTTGTTATATTGCTATGGACCCGAGTACAGACTGACTAGAGAGACTGGACTATGGATTCAGAGTAAAGTGAGGACTGAGTCTGAATCCACTCCCAGATTATCTTCACCAGCTATGAAATTACATTAATGGGACAAGTTGATAAGTGGGTTGAAATGGGTTTCCTGCAAAATGGAAGCTTCAGTCTAAAAGTATTGAACCAGCTTAAGACATGTTTGGAGAGAAAGGAGAGCAGAAATGCAATAGAGCGCACAGAAATAAAAGTAAACATGGGTAGGCTATATGAAGACAAGAACTGAGGCAGAGAGTCCCCTCGTAGCCCGCCGTCGACCCTGTACGGACCCACAGAGTCCCCTCGTAGCCCGCCGTCGACCCTGTACGGACCCAGAGAGTCCCCTCGTAGCCCGCCGTCGACCCTGTACGGACCCACAGAGTCCCCTCGTAGCCCGCCGTCGACCCTGTACGGACCCACAGAGTCCCCTCGTAGCCCGCCGTTGACCCTGTACGGACCCACAGAGTCCCCTTGTAGCCCGCCGTCGACCCTGTACGGACCCACAGAGTCCCCTTGTAGCCCGCCGTCGACCCTGTACGGACCCAGAGAGTCCCCTCGTAGCCCGCCGTCGACCCTGTACGGACCCAGAGAGTCCCCTCGTAGCCCGCCGTCGACCCTGTACGGACCCAGAGAGTCCCCTCGTAGCCCGCCGTCGACCCTGTACGGACCCAGAGAGTCCCTCGTAGCCCGCCGTCGACCCTGTACGGACCCACAGAGTCCCCTCGTAGCCCGCCGTCGACCCTGTACGGACCCAGAGAGTCCCCTCGTAGCCCGTCGTCGACCCTGTACGGACCCAGAGAGTCCCCTCGTAGCCCGCCGTCGACCCTGTACGGACCCAGAGAGTCCCCTCGTAGCCCGCCGTCGACCCTGTACGGACCCAGAGAGTCCCCTCGTAGCCCGCCGTCGACCCTGTACGGACCCACAGAGTCCCCTCGTAGCCCGCCGTCGACCCTGTACGGACCCACAGAGTCCCCTCTTAGCCCGCCGTCGACCCTGTACGGACCCACAGAGTCCCCTCGTAGCCCGCCGTCGACCATGTACAGACCCAGACAGTCCCCTCGTAGCCCGCCATTGACCCTGTACGGACCCACAGAGTCCCCTCGTAGCCCGCCGTTGACTCTGTACGGACCCAGCGTACGGCAGAGCTGTAGAAGCTGCATACCGCTTGTATTAGTCAGCTTGTCAAAGCTCTTTCTAGCAGGACATTCAGGGAGGGGGAAGCAGGTGCTTCCAGGTAAGTGTTTGTCTCCCTGGGTGTTCATAGTTGCAGCTCTTTCCCCTGTTTGAGCGTTCAAGTCTCCACAGATTAACACATTTCCCATGGTTTTATAATGGTTCCTCCTCAAGAATAGAGAAAGTATCTGGGTTGTAGTAGGGGATTCTGATGGAGGTATATAGATGGCACACATGTAGACATGTTGCTCTGTTTGTTCATTTTCAACCATATATTAGCTTCTTCTTCTTTAATAACTGATGGACTGGCTCAGTTCTGATTTACACCATATAGTCAGGCCTCCTGAATCTCTGCCTTGGGTTATTGTGGGATTTTTTGTTGATGGTATAATAATGTCAGTGTAGCCGTGAGGACGACCAGTGGAAACATCTTCTCTGCACCATGTCTCCTGTAAAACTATGATGTCAGAGTCTTTAACTTTCTATTAAAATCTGGATTTCTGCTCTTTAAACCAAAAGCTGATGATCTCAGACCTCGAATGTTCCAACATGTTATTGTAAACGATTTCATCTCCAAGTGTAATCTGTTCAAAAATTAGACCTTAAACACCTTAAAAAACTAATAAACCCTCTCTCTCTCTCTCTCTCTCTCTCTCTCGAGCGACCGCTGACCTGACATCCCAGCGTCGGTCCGTCCTTCCCCAGCGCTGCCCAGGCTCTGTCTGCAGAGGGTCTGCCTGCCTGCCGGCGCTGTGACACCGGCAACGGCAACTGGCAGTGAGCTCACCAATCCAAGAAGTGTCAGCTCTTATTTAGAAAAGGGCTTATTGAGGGGACGTGACATCACATTGAAGCAATACCCCTGATTGGCTGACTACACGTGTGGATCGTAGTCACACACTCTGTGTGGTTTGAAAATACAGGTGAAAATTAGCATATCGTGCAAAAGTTCATTTATTTCAGTAATTCAACTTAAAAGGTGAAACTAATATATTATATAGACTCATTACATGCAAGGTGAGATATTTGATATAATTGCAACAGAAGTTGGATGTTCTCAAAGTGCCGTATCAAGGCACATTAATAGAAAGTTAAGTGGAAGAAAAAGGTGCACAAGCAGCAGAGATGACCGGAGCCTGGAGAGGATTGTCAGGAAAAGGCCATTCAAATGTGTGTGGGAGCTTCACAAGGAGCGGACTGAGGCATCAAGAGCCACCACACACAGACGGGTCCTGGACATGAGCTTCAAATGTCGGATTCCTCTTGTCAAGCAGCTCCTGAACAACAAACAGCGTCAGAAGAAAAAAAGAACTGGTCTGTTTCTCATTGGTCCAAAGTCCTCTTTTCTGATTCTCATTTGGAAACCAAGGTCCCAGAGTCTGGAGGAAGAACGGAGAGGCACACAAACCAAGATGCTTGAAGTCCAGTGTGACGTTTCCACAGTCTGTGTTGGTTTGGGGAGCCATGTCATCTGCTGGTGTTGGTCCACTGTGCTTTATTAAGTCCAGAGTCAGCGCAGCCGTCTACCAGGACATTTTAGAGCACTTTATGCTTCCTTCAGCAGACGAGCTTTATGGAGATGCTGACTTCATTTTCCAGCAGGACTTGGCACCTGCCCACACTGCCAAAAGTACCAAAACCTGGTTCAATGACTATGGGATTACTGTGCTTGACTGGCCAGCAAACTGGCCTGACCTGAACCCCAGAGAGAATCTATGGGACATCGCCAAGAGAAAGATGAAAGACATGAGAGCGAACAATGCAGAAGAACTGAAGGCCGCTGTTGAAGCATCCTGGTCTTCCATAACACCTCAGCAGTGCCACAGGCTGATAGCATCCATGCCAGGCCGCATTGAGGCAGTAATTCATGCCCAAACCAAGTACTGAGTACATATGCATGATTATACTTTTCAGAGGGCTGACATTTCTGTATTTAAAATCCTTTAAAAAAAAATTTATTTCATGTAATATTCTAATTTTCTGAGATTTTGAATTTGGGGTTTTCATAAGCTGTACGCAATAATCATCGAAATTATATCAAATATCTCACTTTGCATGTAATGAGTCTATATAATATATTAGTTTCACCTTTTAAGTTGAATTACTGAAATAAATGAACTTTTGCACGATATGCTAATTTTTTGAGTTTCACCTGTACAATTTAGACTGTGTTTGTTTGTAAATTGTGAAGAGGGCATTTGTAGAATTTTTAATGGGAAAAACAGCGAAACAGAAATTCTGAAAACAAATGCAACACAATCTACAAACATATAATGACCGTCATGCACAAGCAAACACTTTGCATTCATTCAAATTCTGGTTGTCAAGTACAAGTCACTGATTTCTATTTATGAATCATGATGTGTGTATTTGTATATATTTAATCTATTTGTAGATCTTGATCTACATTTGCAGATCATGAGGACTTAGTGGATTTTTAATCTATTTATAGATTGCGTTTTGTGTTTACAAGTTGTAATATCTATTTGTGACTTTTAGTCTGTCCATTTTCAATCAATTTGGCATCATTTTACTTTCCAATATTTTGCCTGATTTTGAACTTCTTGACTTTGGATTGTTGCCTGTGCCTTTCTGGATTTATTTGCTGATACTGGACTTGTAATTGGGTTGTTTCATCTTGCCTGACTCACCATCCTGTAAGTCTGTACACTCTTTATTAAAAACCATAGAACTGTACTTGTTCTGCCTTCGTGTCCAGTGTTTGGGTCCAAATAGAAAAGTTGTTGTTCCATGATTTGACTAAATGTGACATTTAGCAGAGAAACTGAACGGTCCCTGGAGCCAAAGTCTGCAGAAACGGCTCTGGTTTCACACATGAGAGCAGCAGACATACAGCAGACAGCTGTTCCTGAATGACCTACTTTTCACCCTGCTTCTGAGGAATCTGATATTTTTTGTTTTATTAAAAGTTTCATTTCCTAATAAGAAATAAGCTTTAGTATTCTTTCTGAGTATAAATATAACAAAATAACCACATTTGTTTTGTATAACCAATAAATATTCAGTTTCAGTTTCAGTTTCAGTATGACTAGGTCACTGGACACCACCTACTGTGATGTCATTCTGAAACTCTCTTCAGCTCCACTGTATAAAAGCAGACGTAACACTGGAAGCTCTCATTTTCCTTTTTGGTGTTTTTGCATTGCTGATTTCTTCAAATCCAAATAGTTTGGATCTATTAGAGAACCTTTGTATTTTGACTTCTTCAATTGATACTCAAAGCTTCTTCAACAATGCTTCGGTAAGACCACTCACATTTTACTATTTCTAATATAGTAATATAGTGTTTCTGGAAAAAGAGGCATAGATAGCCTCCTCGCTTTCTCCGGCACTGTGGACCAGGAAGTGGATGGAGCACCGATAGAAGTTCCTAATGCAGGAGGTAACCGAGTCTGAGACTGGCTCCTCTAAAGAAGACAGCGGTGAAACAGCAGCCAGTCGACTGCAGTAGAGCCGGCGGACAAAGCTGAGCTGCCCCACAAGGCTCGTAGCAGGAACTATAACCATGTACTTTAGTCTACTCTGCTCGGAAGACTGTTCTTCTTTGATTCAGTCTTAGTATGTTTAAAAGGTTTAATTCAGTTTCAGTATGACGTTACTGTGATTTCATTTGAAAACTCTCCTCACTTTTTCAGTTTTGTTTTGTTCCAACCAGTAATTTTTTTTTTTTAACTGACCACACAGTAAGTAACTAAATTGATCTCTGTTTTTGAAACTATTTAATTCAATTCAGTTTTATTTATATTGCCCCAAATCACAACAACAGTTATCTCAGAGCGCTTTTCATAAACCAAGGGAAGGGTCAGAGAGGGAGTTTAATACAACTAGAACAAAACCGACTACATACCATAAAAACTATGGAACAGCTGCTAGTTAATGTAGCCGCAGTACAAATGTATTTAGCTAACTATTGTTATACTTGAAGTAGCTGTCTGATGTTTCCTGTGTCTCACTGGGCCCTGACTCTCCCTGCAACAAATGTTTGAACACAGAACTGTCTTCAATGCAAACTCTGATGACATGCCATTGGAATAACAAAGTCTTTTTACTACGTGAGTTTTAGAATTTACTATGTCTACTAGCTATCCATACAACTTACAAGCTCGTCCTCCTCAGTTTGTTCTACTCCTCTTGTGACCTCTGTCCTCTTCCTCTTAAAATACAATCAATTCAATTTCAATTGTTGATGGACACGTAGCAGAGACACATGCACACTTCCTGGCACAGGTTTGTTTTCCACAGACAGGCAAAAAAAGTGGCCCAGGAGTTTGTCCCTGGTCAGCCCTCCAGACAAAGCCTTTGTCGGGCCCTCTGGGTCTTTACAGACCTTTATTCCTGCATTCTACCTTACCATAACTCTGCAGAACCAGCTCTGAGCTGACCGCGGTCAGCTGATTTTGTTCTGTGGTGCTGCAGTGTTAAACAGAGGAGCAGAGTGCCCTCTGGTGGGCAAACTATGCAACACTCATACCCTGAGGGAAGGATCAGACTCTGTTTTTTAATAGTCATATCGGCTGTTAGAAATGCAGATGCAAGTGGCTTATATCGGCCGATAATATCTGCAAAACGATAAATCTGTCGGGCTGTAGTTAATACCATCAAATATATTACAGTGAGAATTTCCATTTTCTGCTGCTTTCTCCTTCTACTGCACTACAACTTAGAGTTAATTATTGTACTTTTTGCTTCACAACATTTGTCTGACATTTGTCTTTAGTTACTTTTCAGGTTATAGGTTTTCGTCCCCTTCCCATCCAGGGAGAACCTTGTGTCTCCAGATTATAATAAACTGCAGGATGAAGTGTTGATCCTCCTTCAGCTGAATAAACAATTTTAACCCCCCTTTAGATAGTAACAAAACTGGAAACGAACAGTTTTCCGACTTTTTAGAGACACATGGTTCTCACAGGACTGCAATGCTAAAAACAATATAATGCACTGCTGTAGATGAAACCACCCAACAGGATGTAAACGAGTTAAAGTGAGGTCAACCTCAAACATCTGCCGCAGTAAGATACACCATACTCAATAATGCAGCAGGAATATTAATCCAGAAACAATTAATCCAAAAGCAATCTAGTATGTGCTGTCCAGTGGAATGAGGAATGCGCAAACCTGTATATTGGGGAAACTAAACATCCACATCACAGATGCACAGAAGGGCCAACGCTTCAGGTCAAGACTCAGCAGTTTACTTACATCTAACGTGGAGGGGGAGGAGGAGGGATGTTTTGAATTAGGGATGTACCATTCTGATACTGATATTAGATATCGTCTGGACTCAAATAGCTGGATTGGGTATCGGTGACAAGGGGCCCAATCTGGGGCCGATTTAATCCCCTCAATTACACACGTAGAGCGCCAGCTTCAGCAGTGTGCAGGTAGACCCAAACATTTTGCTAGCAGAGCAAACATAGTATTTTTGGACTCTTCTCAAAGCAAGCTTTAGAAAGAAGAAGAGAAACGTATATACCTGGACAAGAGCAAATATGGCTGGCTTTTACTGGATGATGTAAGCTAAAAGAGCTGAACTTATTAGCTGGGTTCTTGTGTCTTTTGTCTGTGTGGTGTTGTGCTTGCTTGATGTTTGGCTGTGTTATTAAAGTTGTCGAAATCAGACAGAGGTTTAGCTGCTAGCGCTAAATCCCAAGTTGATTTTTGCAAACTAGAAATCACACTGGGACATAATATTACTGTAAGTGCTCTTGTGTCAGTTGCTGTTTAGCGTTTGTTGGCTAGCTTGCCACCCAAGTCAGAGCTAGGCAAGCAAGCAACATTTTAGTACAGTGAACTCATTGTCATGTTCAAGAAACCATTTGAAATGATTGGAGCTTTGTGACATGGTGCATTATCCTGCTGGAAGTAGCCATCAGAGGATGGGTACATGGTGGCCATAAAGGGATGGACATGGTCAAACAATGCTCAGGTAGGCCGTGGCATTTAAACCAGGCCCAATTTGCACTAAGGGGCCTAAAGTGTGCCAAGAAAACATCCCCCACACCATTACACCACCACCAGCAGCCTGCACAGTGGTAACAAGGCATGATGGATCCATGTTCTCATTCTGTTTACGCCAAATTCTGACTCTACCATCTGAATGTCTCAACAGAAATCGAGACTCATCAGACCAGGCAACATTTTTCCAGTCTTCAACTGTCCAATTTTGGTGAGCTCTTGCCAATTGTAGCCTCTTTTTCCTATTTGTAGTGGAGATGAGTGGTACCCGGTGGGGTCTTCTGCTGTTGTAGCCCATCCGCCTCAAGGTTGTGCGTGTTGTGGCTTCACAAATGCTTTGCTGCATACCTCGGTTGTAACGAGTGCTTATTTCAGTCAAAGTTGCTCTTCTATCAGCTTGAATCGGTCGGCCCATTCTCCACTGACCTCTTGCATCAACAAGGCATTTTCGCCCACAGGACTGCCGCATACTGGATGTTCTTCCCTTTTCACACCATTCTTTGTAAACCCTAGAAATGGTTGTGCGTGAAAATCCCAGTAACTGAGCAGATTGTGAAATACTCGGCCGGCCCGTCTGGCACCAACAACCATGCCACGCTCAAAATTGCTTAAATCACCTTTCTTTCCCATTTTGACATTCAGTTTGGAGTTCAGGAGATTGTCTTGACCAGGACCACACCCCTAAATGCACTGAAGCAACTGCCATGTGATTGGTTGATTAGATAATTGCATTAATGAGAAATTGAACAGGTGTTCCTAATAATCCTTTAGGTGAGTGTATCTGGGCTCAGCAGCCTCTATGAATGTAATTTTAGCTAATAGCAGAGGCAAATAGACAGAGCTCTGACAAAGGAAGCTAAGTTGAGAAAAAGCGGCGACCAAGACATTGACGAGAGGTTTGTAAAATAAGACTGCTAGACAGACGTTTCTGTGCATACAGTTGGACTAGTCAGTAATTGCTGTGTCTCCTCTTCCTCACTGTGAGGAAGACATTACAAATTTTAGCCTGGTATCTGATCAGTAGCCTTCTTGGCATCAGCCAAAACCCAAAGCCCAGGCATCTGTTTTATATCAGGACTGAAAAAGCTAGTTTAAAAGTGACCTTTTACACATGAATGGAGAAACCATCACTTAACAGGGTACAAGGTTTGTGACACCACTGATCCCCCACTTGACAGTGCTGTCCTTTCATCCCTTCCCAGGAAACAAATGCTCACATTTGGCCTCCTGTGACTAACGACGGCTGATCAGACTTGGCCTCGGGTGTCTCCAACGACCATAATGACAGCTGTTACAACTGCGAGGAACACTAACGAACAAGAGGTATCAATTAATATAAAATTTGAAAGTCCACATATTTGATCAAAAGTTTATTTTGAAAGAAATCTTACATCTAAACAAGTTGGTTTCAGAAGATCCTGTTCACTCAGTATTTAAAACAAGTGAAAGTAAATGGGTTTAAGATGTTTTTCTCTCTCAACACACCAGCGCTTCTTCCCAGCACCCTGCCAGACACAAGCCCTTAAATTGATGTTATTTAGCCTTTCTGAGGCTGTTGCATGGTTAAAATCAAATGTTATAAAAAGGGTAGCAAGTGAAGTAATGTTAAATCACTGCCTAGCTGGAAACTAATAGTAATGGACACTCCAAAAGTAAACTTCGACCTCTTGGGAAGCCTTACCATGGAGGAGTGGTTTGAACAGATAAGATAAAAAGACACCTGTGAGACATGCAGAGCTAGCATTAGCTAGCCTCTTTGTTTTTCCATCGTCTGCAGCGTTTGGTATTTTTAAGATCACTTATGTAGATAAGTAAAAGATTGATCCAACACTAAGCCCTTCATACAGGACCCTGTTCTGTTACTTTCTACCAGTCAACGAACTTCACTCATTGTAGCTTCCTCAAAAAAGTCCAAGTGGTTTGTAAGGCATGATGGTAAGTTGATCAGACAGGGATGTCATTACCCGGGCCAGTACAGGCTCCTTTCTAATAAACTGGTAATACACTGCCATGTTTTCAGTCATCTGGTATTTTTCCAGTTTTAAGAGATTTAAAAAAACATACTGGCGGACATTTGTAAACAACTTCTCCATTCTTTAAAGGTTCAGTGTGTAATATTTCTGAGGATCTACTGACAGAAATGCAATATAAGATCCATAACTAAGTTTTCAGTGGTGTGAACCGTTTTATTAACTTAGAATGAGTATTTATGTCTCCATAACTGCGGGCGCCGCCTTCTATGGAGGTTGCTGTATTTTGTTGTCATGTTTCTACCATAGCCGACAAGGACAAACAGCGCTACAGAGTGCGTTTCGTCATCACCACGGTGTTCTTCTTCTCCTTGTGTAATTCTGGCAGTGTTGATGCCTGTCACTACAATAAATGCGTCCGTAGAAGAAGAAGAGGGAAAAATAATATAATAACTAGTAATAAAATAATAATTTCTAGAGAAATTGCGGTGTGAATGCTGGCTGTTGAAGGCTGACGCTAAACTGGATTGCTAAACTTCATTGCTAAACTTCATTGCTAAACTTCATTGCAAGCTCTCATTTCAGCTTCTGTCTTAAACAAGCAGCAGTAGATGCTCCTGTCTCTTTAAGCCCCCCCCCCCTACAAAAACCCACTGTGTTCTGATTGGCCAAGATCCTGAAGCAGGATGATTATGCCGCTCAGCGGTAGAGACAAACTAAGCATAGGATTTGCCAGTTGTTATTGAGGCTGCAGGCAAATATATGGAAAACCAGCTCTGTATCACATCATTAAGAGCCAAGAGTAGAGCTTTGGCCATGTTTCACATGAACATCTGACACTGAAAGCTTATAGATAAGACAGAAAATATAAGAAGCCTAATAAGTCTCCTTTAATATGTGTGTGTGTGTGCGCCTGCGGCGACACAGTGAACTAAATTTTCATCATGGTTAAATGCTAAAACAAATTGTACAGATAGAAACAGCTTGAAATATCCTTTAAAATGATACCAAGACCATGTTTATTGGTTCAATAATCGCAAAACACACTGGTCATTTGACAGCCAAAAGTGGTCACTTTATTTTGTCTCTATTAGTTTTCCACTGAAGTCAAAGCAAAAGGTGTGACCCTGCAGTGCTTTTACGTTGTTAGCCAATGGAAGCAGATTTTGCGGGCAATAAAACTCCGTTCAAATTCATTGAAAATTCGTTCACTTGTAGTTTAGCAACTAAACTAAATGTCTATTACAGTTTAAAGAATGTTTTTACTCACTTTCAGCAAAAAACGAGACGACCGACAAACTTTGGTTTGCTCAAAATACCAGTATTTCAACGGGATAGACGGAGACTTGAAACAAGGAGGTTATCTATGGTTTTTCTGGTGGTGTAATCCATCAGAACCCGGAAGTTCCACAAAAAAGAAGCCAACAGGATCAATTATTTTCATAACACCGCAAGTCGCCAGGGAAACTCCCGAGTTACGTCTGTTGGAACCAAGACGGCGGCCGCGATGGTGGAGATCACGTACATAATAAATGTGTACTCCCATTCAGTAAAGTTTAAAGCTCCATGCTTTGATGGCTCTGTGTGTGTGTTGTGTCTGTCAGTGTATTAATGTGTGTGTGTGTGTGTGTGTGTGTTCAGTGAAGAGGACACAAACAGGTGTTCAGAAAATAGCTTAACTTCCGTCCACCAATCAGAACAGAGGACCCAGTCCTTTGATCTTTAATCAGCTAACTTACGTCACCAAGGTAACCAGCTCTACAATAGACAGATAGGAAAATCCTTCTGAGACTTTCTGACAAACAAACCTCCACTGAGACAAAACTATAGGTTTTATCGGCAAAATGACCTGACAAGGCATTTCTGAACGATGTGATGTGTTTTTTGTGTGGATAAAGTAAAAAGAAGCGAGCTAAAAAACTGGTATGTTCTGCTCTGCTCCAGAAATTTTGACTGAATTTGAATTTATAATGGCTTCCAATGAAGGACTTGACTGTCACGCTTGTCCTTTGGAAGGACACAGAGGCAAATCTATAACTCCGAGGGATTTAAAAAGCCCATGTGAGGAACCACAAAAAAATTTAGTACGTTTCTGGTGTAAAATTATGCATGAAGAGTTAAAATTGTGGTCAAGCCAGCGAGTTAAAGAGAAAAATCTAAGAAGATTTTGCGAGCCTGCTACACTGTAGTGATGATGTCACACCCATTATAAACTCAGAAAAGAGCTAAAAAAAGCATAAAACTTCGACAGCGACCGTGAACAAACCATAAAACATATCAAAAAGCTGAATACATGATTAATAGATTAACTTCTTGTGGCCAATTTACAGTTTAAATCAAGTCTGTAGCTGAAAGTATGCTGAACTGGTGAGCTTTCAAAGTGGAGTAGGTATGAGGAGGATTTTGACAGTCTCTCCATTCACTTACAATGGGAGAATTTTCCTGGAAAACCTTGAATATTTTGGAAAGTATTCAAGGTATCAATTACAAAAGTAATAGCACCCCATTCCTCATTGAGCTGGAAAACCTTGAGTTTGAACAGAGTTTCTACGTCAAAAGCTGTGGGACTAGTTAAGGTCCAAAAAAATGTGACGGAAGAATAATACGAAAATAAATTTTAGCAATAACATAGGATGTGCATGCTTGCAACATTCACACCCAATAATAGTCTCTGAGTAGTCTTCTGGTTTATTAGAATTAAGAAAAGAAGTGACATTTGGACAGGTGAACGAGCACACGTGTTATTTAGCACGAGAGCCGACAGCCTGTGGATCAAACACCATGAAGCCAGACCTAGTCTGGACCATAGGACAGATACAAACAGCTGACAGCAGAAATCAGGGTTGTGGATATTCCAGATGGAAGGCTATAATGTGGGACAGATATTTTCTGTCTGTTTTCTGCTGGACAGGTAATAAAGTTAAGTTTGTCAGACTTTAGCAATGCAAATGAAAGCTGTTGTTTGATAGCTTTAGCTTGAATCTGGCCATGATCACTGAGAGAGGTGAGGTGTCTGTCAACATGTAGTTGCATTAATTTCATGTCGCCTATTTATTCTTCAGCCTGTAGGTTAGCTTTGCCGGTTAAGTTAGCGAGACAATCAGCTTATCAGTAACGTTAATTGGCAATATTGGCAATAAAATCGTAAGCTAGGTTAGCCGTTAGCTTAGAGCATCTAAGCATCAGCCAGCTAAACTTCTACTGCCCTGAGAAAAATCAAGTAAGGTTAGTTGGATTGGTTTATTCACCAGCGCTGTGCTTTAGCTTGTGGTGTAAAATATGTTGTTGGATTAGTTTCATGTAGTCTCTCTCTCTCTCTCCAGCGCTCTGTTTTGGCTTTGTCGGTTACGTTCGTGAGACAATCAGCTGAGAAGGCAGCTTCCAGCATCAAAGCTCAGATCAGACAGCAGATTGTAATTTCATGTAGTTCTTCTCCCGCGAATGAAACTAAGATTGTGACTAAAATCAGCAGCTAAGCTTCACATTTTACTGGTGGAAAACATATATTTCTTTTCACTGCTAATGGTGAGATATAACAAGACCGTGTGCCTATCAAGTGACCAATAATGAATACTTTCAGAATTTGCATTAAAAAAAGGTGTTTTTTGGATATTGCTTTTCCACTGTGCACACAAATGTGTAATTTGTACTTTCACATGTTAAACGCCCATTAAAAACATTGCACTGTTTTACAACAAGCTGAAATTATGGCTGTCAGTACTACTTTGTGTTTCTATTGTATTTTAAAAAATTAAAAAGACATGTTGCAGATTGCTTATCTAATTAAGCAAATCGAGAGAAGCCTTGATCCTCACCTGACAATGCCTTTGTAAACTTCATGTATTATGTGGTTTATAATGGACTCTGGTGCAGAAACAGTGAGCTTATTTGTCCTGTTATCTGTCAGTGGTCACTAGATGTGATAGTGTTTGAGATGTTCTTCATTTTCTTTGGTATGTTAGTCCAGATGAGCCAACCCTCCCAAGATGTAAAATACTGTATTACAGGAGTATGAGACATCATGTAGCACTTCATTTCTTGATGTGGCAGTTGTTTATTAATGTAACAACAATATTCAAATAAAACCCACAAGTTTTAACTGAATAATTAAGTAAATATAACTGTCTTAATATATCTATCTAAAGAAACCTAATTTGTTGACTGGCAACTCTCTGCTATCTCATAGATGACATCTTTTGTCCTTTCTCAGACACCGTAGCTATACAATTCTCTTAGATAGGGGAAGGGGTGCAATTCGCAACCCCAACCACTAGATGTCACTAAAACTTACACACTGAACCTTTAAACTGGCATCCTAAATAAAATTTGAAAAAACCTATCCACCTGAAGGCATGCGTGGAAATAATTATAATATTGCAATGATGTTACTATAATAAATCATAGCTCTTTCTTTATTTGCTATATCTCTTACTCATCTTTAATTTATACTGTAGTGGGGCTACAAACCACCGGATATGGTGTCTGACGTCACCTAAAATTCCCATAATGCAATGGGAATTACAGTTATTTACCGGAAAGAGAATATACAGTATTATACTGGGTGATATGTTAACTGTAGAAATTACAGAAATGTCTAACAGTGTATGTGTTTTAATGTTTCAGGAAAACACAGGTTGCACATGAAAATCACCATTTAACTGCTGAATAAATCAACAAAATGGGGAACGCACAATCAGACAAACCATTACCACCATTTCTACCATTACTACCATTATTCAGCCGGAAATGCTGCAAGTGTGGTAAAGTCATGCCTCGATGGACCATTGTTGATCGTTGCATAACTACTGTTCATGGGCAGCATGTAGTTGTGTACAATGGAGGTGAATTCTACAGACCAGTTGGCTTTAATCTTATGTTTGAGTGTGCACATTGCTTTAATAAGCCAATCAGGGATCAAGAGGAAAAGAGTAAAGAGGAGGAGAGAAGAAGAGAGGAGGAGAGACAGAGAGAGGAGGAGAGGAGAAGAGAAGAGGAGAGAAGAAGAGAGGAGGAGAGACAGAGAGAGGAAGAGAGGAGAAGAGAAGAGGAGAGACAGAGAGAGGAAGAGAGGAGAAGAGAAGAGGAGAGACAAAAACTGGATCAAAGACTACAAGAATCGCAGCAACGATCCAAAGAGCAGCATGAGAAACAACAGAGCAGCCACATTTCAGAAGAATATGAGTCCAAGCGAGATGTTGAGATGTGGCATCTGAATGAGTTTGAGGCTAAGTATGAATCCGGCAGGGATGAGCTTCTAGAAATCCTCTCTAAGAAATGCAGTTCCCCTGTTCCAGATCTGAGTCTCACTCAGCTGACAGCAGACCAGCAGCGGGAGATCCTGTCAGTCCTGGACAAACTTCTGTTTGATGAATGGATCAGTGCTCCCCGTCCCTCAGCACTCTGCAGCACACTCAGGTGTTCATCACAGAGCTGTGTGCCCTGTCTCTGGAGATCCCCGAGGGAGTTCCCCTACAAAGCATCTCCAATCAGGTGCAGTCCCTGGTGGACTCCATCAGCCAATCAGCACGCAATGCTTTTGAGAGTCTCCTGCTGACTCAAGCCCTGTACCTGAACCTGATGCACTTTTTCACTGACTATAGCAGCTCTGATACTGACGCAGTCCTCATAGCCAAACAGTGGGCTGGAGATAAGCTTTCCACTGAGAACCTCTGTCTTATAGAATTCCTGAGCACCCTCGCATCATCACTGCAGAATGTAGTGGGAAGAGCCTCTGTGTTCATTTTAAAGATGGAAATCCAGTGCTTGAAGCTTCTCTTATCCACACTCACACATCTAACCGGCAAAGAAACCCACTCAGAATCCACTGAGATGCTCCTCAGACTTGTGCAAAGAAACCAATGGACCCCAACGGAGACAGTGACTCTGCTCAAAGCACTGTCACAGAAATATGCAGAGGATGTTTCAATAACTGAAGTCCTTAAGCTGGTGCAAGCTTATGACATATCACCAGAGTGGACGGATGAGTCCGGACACACTCTCGTCCAGGCTCTGGACTTTGCTGGCCCTGAGAGATTCCATCAGGATTTCCTAAATACTCTCAGAAGGAACAATGAGAGCAGTCTACCTGCAGCTCTAGCAGAAGTGAAGATGTTATGGAATTTGGATGATTCTGTGGTTGATATGATAAAAAACATTACCACTGGCGTCCTGCAGTACGCAGAAAATGCACCAAAAGGAGGCCCAGTTAGTTCCGTTGGTAGAGCGCCTGCCCAACGTACAAGGACGATTCTGCATGTCTGCGTGTGTTTTCTTCTCTCACTCCTTCATTTCCTGTTTCACTTCATGTCAAATAAAGGCAAAAAGGCCCAACATATATCTTTACAAAAGAAAGGAGAAAATGCACCTAAAGATGCACCATTTGTTAAAGATTCCTTCACACGTGATCCCTTGAATGCAGACGACCTCCAGAAGTCTCTGTCTCAGCTCTGCAAAGCAGTTTTTGACACCAAAGGCTGGTGGCCCACAGTGAGGCAGATGCTGCGGTGGTGTGCGTTGGTGCTGACTCAGAAGAGTGGAGAGCTACAACTGGTTGGTGTGGAAGAAGACCCATGTGTCACAGCCATGTTTGCAGCCACACAAGTCTGCATGGGAAACAAACTGGACATTGTGCTGAGCGCTGATGTTCCCTCAGAGGAGCAAACTAAGGAGTGGTCTGACTTCTACAAGCACCTTGGAATCTCTCTCAACACAAACATGAAGAAAACAAATGCATCTTACAGGGAGGTCTATGAAGCAGACATTGTGTACGGTACCATCAGTGACTTCATCTCTGATTACTTTCAGTACGGCATCGAGGGGATGGGAACAGGGAACCCTCAGCTTAGACGTGGATTTATCATTGAACAACAAAGTCTCAGTTCTTCTCATAATCTGGAACTTTCTAGGCTCAAGGACAATGATTCCCTGGTGTTTGCTGCAGAGGTCCTGCAAAGCATCATGGGTAAATTTCAGAGTGAGGATATGGAACTGAGACACAAGTTTCTTAAGGCTCTTTTTCAGGTGCTCCACACCAACCTAAACAACGACACAAACACTGGCAATAAAATCATCACCATCTCAAAGAAAGTTAGTGGAAAGGAACTTCCTTCTAATGAGGTCTTTGTTCTGACCTTTCTTGAGAATCTCCTGAGAGTGGTTACTAGAGAAACAGAAGCTGAGAAAAACAGGACATCTCCTGCAGGCAAATGGTGTTTGGAGATTTTATTTGACTGTGCAGAGCAGTTCCAAGACTCAACAGCACAAATCAAGGAACTCTTCCAGATGGTTTCAAATCTTAGACTTTGGTCCCCCATGGAGGCCTTAAACCTCATTGGAGCATTAACTGACCACCATCATGATGAAGACTGTATTTCCATCATGAAGATTTTACACTTGATGGCAACGTATCAGGTGTCTTCCACGTGGACAGACAAGGACAACCAATCTCTCCTTAAACTCTTGAGTCAACTAGAACTGAGAATCTGATCCAGCATTTAGAAAATAGCCTGAGAGATGAGAAAACAAAAAGCCTTGACACTCTGTTTGATGAAATACGGCAGATGAAAGACATCGATGAACAAACACTGAGTAAATCATACAGTGTAGTAACTCATGTAACAAACCTGATCGAAACCGGTGAAATTAAAAACCACACAGATGTACAGCGAGCTAGGAATCTGAGTCACAGCACGGACACAGAAGACCTTCAGGAGGTCCTGGCAGTCTTATGCAATGCTGTAAACCTGTGCCAGGCTGAAGGGAAGTGGTGGCCCAGAACCACCCAGATGATCAGCTGGTGCCTCTTGGCCTTGTCTGACACTGGGATTCTCCTGGAGATGGGCACTGGAGAAGGGAAGTCTTGTGTCATAGCAATGTTTGCAGTGCTGCGTGCGCTTAGGGGTGAAAAAGTAGATGTGGTGTCCAGCTCTTCTGTGTTATGTCAAAGAGATGCAGAAGAATGGACCAACTTCTACAAGTACTTTGGCTTGACAGCTGACACAAACACAAATAAAACCCAAGATAAAGATCGCAAAGAATGCTACCAGAAGGACGTGGTCTATGGCACTATCGAAGCCTTCGCTGCAGATCACCTTCGCCAGATATTTGAGATGAAGGATGTGAGGCCTGATCGCAGCTATCAGTGCATCATAATCGACGAAGTGGACTCCCTGCTGCTGGATCAGGGAGTGCAGCTGACCTACCTGTCCAGCCCCATGGTCTGCATGCAGCACCTGAACATCATCCTGGCCATGATCTGGGGCCACGTCAGCCAGTACGGCTTCCTGTCTACAGGAGACCAGACATTTGTCCGGGGTCCTCCTGTTTCATTCTTCAAGGCCATCTTTGAATCAATAGACACAGAAGAAACTGACATTAATGATCCAATGGACATTTTACGTATCGCTGAAGAAACCAACACTGTGCCAAGTGGATTTACAGATGATACCTACAAAAGTGAAAAGGATGAACTTCTGATCAAACTGAAAACTGTGAGTCAGGATGCTGTGGTAGAGTTTTTCCAAGAAATTGAGGACTATGTCCCCTATGGTTTCACTGTTTACACTTTAGACGACAAGGGATTGCTCCGTCTTAGAAAACGCAGCCCGTACAACAACAGGGACATTCCAGAGCTTAAATTTCTTGTCTTGGAGGAAGGCTTGTGTTGTACTCTCTATGATTCAGAAGAAATTCTCATCAAGCCCATTGCAGAATTAATCTCAGAGAAGATTCAGTACACCCCATGTACAAACAATAAAGACAAAATCAGCATTCCTGGATTCTTGAAGAATCTGGTGGAGAAGAAAGTGTCAGTGTGGGTTCAGAATGCCTTTCTGGCAATGCTACTGAAGCAAGGACGGGAATATGTTGTAGAAAACGACAACGTCTGTCCAGTGAATTTCAGGTCAACTGGTATAATAGAACTGAATAAGAAATGGGGGGATGGTCTGCAGCAGTTTCTTGAGATTAAACACCAAATCAAACTGAGCACAATTTCGACAGTGACAAACTACGTGTCTAACATCTCCTTTTTTGAAAAGTACCATGGGAAAATATATGGAACAACGGGGACACTTGGGAGCAAAGCAGACATTCTGTTTTTGCAGGAGCTATATCCAAATCTGTCTGCCTGCAAAATGCCAACATTTGACCGGAAGAAGTTATTTGAGGTCAAAGGTACTCTGAAGACCTCAGCTGAAGAGTGGAAATCTGAAATAAAACGTGTGGTTATGGCTCAGATTTCCCCAAATTCATACAGAGATGGAAGAGCAGCCCTGGTGATCTGTGAAACTATCAACAAAGCCAAAGAGATCTACGAAGAGCTGAAAAGCAGCATCCCAGGTGAGATCATTCTCTACTGCCGCAGCGACAAAGACAGTTTGAGCAAAATAGAAAGGGAGCTGCTACCTGGTGATGTCATTGTTGCCACAAACCTAGCCGGGCGTGGCACAGACATAAAAGTGTCCAAACAGGTGAACAACAATGGAGGACTATTTGTGATCCTCTCCTTCCTCTCTGAGAACACAAGAGTGGAACTCCAGGCTTTTGGTCGAACTGCTCGTAAAGGGAAACCTGGATCTGCTCAGATAATCGCGTCCACTGAACACCAGTCTTTCAGGACGGTGTCTTCTCTGGAGGAAGCTAAGAGCACAAGGGATAGACTCGCAGCAGAAAAGATAAATCACATGATGAACGATGTCACTGAGTTGAAACTGCGAGAGGACCTGTTTTCAGAGTACTGCAAAACTCTTGAAGATGTTTATAAGAAGACAGATGGAGAAGAGGAAAGAGCTGTTGTTGCCATCATGAATGAGTTCTGGGGGATATGGTTGCAAACAAAATCAGAGGAAATTGACCAGCTGAAGAGAAATGAATTGCAAACGAGTTTGAAAGCTGATTTGTCATTGGCACAAAGTCAGTCTCAAAGTCAGACTTCACCGTGTTCTAGCATTTATCACTACATCACGTTTGGAAATGTCGCGCTGAGTGAAAAACAATGGGACGTCAGCGCCAGGCTATTTGAAAAGGCCATGAATCAAGATGAAAGCTGGGCAGCCATAGCTTTTTACAGTCATGCATACTGCACTATAAAGCAGCAGAAAGCAGATTACCTGACTAAGGCCAGAGATGATCTAAAGAAGGCTCAGGAGTCTCTGAAGTATCTCAGTGAACAATCCGTGGTCTGTTGCAGTTTGTAAAGATGTCCTCTGCACACTCAGCCAACAGTAACCAAACCAGCCTTGAAAAACAGTTAACAACCAAGTGCAGCATGTTGAGTTACTTTGATAAAAACATTAGTGAGGCCATCCAGAAGCTGGATGAGATCAAAGAAAGAGGGAGGGATGCAATAGTCAATAAATCCCCAATGTTCTCCCTGGTGTCGACTGCTGATGAAGAGCTCCAGGTGGAAGCCTACAACCTCTACAGTCAAGGTCTGAAATATGTATTTTCTGTGGAAGAGAAGCCTCGTTTCTCATGGGAAGGTCTGCTGGTGTTCTGTCTTGGAGTTCTGCAGATTATTGGAGGAGCACTGCTCACTGCATTTACATTTGGGACATTTGCTCAAGTCGGCATGGAACTCATCACTGAAGGAATATCAGACTGCATCACTGGCATAGAGGCCATGGTGACTGGAGAATTCAGCTGGACATCATGGGCTATAGATAAAGCCATTTCTATAGGTGTATCTCTCATTGGGTTTGGAGTTGGAAAACTGATTGCAAAGGGCTTCAAAGCTTCTAAAATGTCAATTAAGGGATTCGGCAAACAGCTGAAGGCGATGCCAAAGTTTCTTTCCAGTCAGGCTAAAGAAGGTTTAAGTGTTGTTGCAAAGACAAACATGAAGAATGCCGTAAAACTTACTGCTAAAAAAACAGTAGAAGAAGTCATGATGTATGGACTTGGGAAGGCAGAAGAGAAAATACTGAAAGAAATACTGAACAGCATCAAAAATGAGGTGAAAAAGGGAATTGTTGAAGATGTGAAATCCAACATGGAAAAAGAGCCCTTGGCTTCATTAGTAGACTCCATCGTCCTCTCACACCTTGAGGATAAAAAGCAGCTTCATGATCTCCTGCAGGACAAGAACAGAAAGAGTGAGCTGCTGGCCATTTTCAGAGAGTTAAGCAACACTGCTGTACAGCATATCTATGCTGACCTCAGCTGGCAGAACAAGCTCAGCTCATCCTTTACAGAGATTGACAACGCTATAGCAATGGCCAGAGGAACTGTACGTGGAATTCTGACAGCTGTCAACATAGGAGCACTGGCAGTCGCTGCCATTAGTGCAGTGCACAGTATCTCCAGCAAGTTTTTCTCGAACCTCCATGAACAGCTGAATATATTTAACGAAAACAAAGCTTCGTCAGAAAAAGTGAAGGTAAATGAGCTGTCTGCTTCAGATGCTGAGATGCTGAAAGAATTCAAGCAGGACTTGGCCGACACCATCAGTGCTTTATTGGCTGATGCTTTGGTAGAAGTGTTCCACCAGAAGTTCTCCAGTCACATTGTTTCTCGTGTTCAAGGAAAAGTAAATGGCGTCATTCGCCGTTATGTAAGAACTGGCTTAAAGAGTGACAGAACAGAGGAAAAACTCAGAGCTGGACAGAACAACAGATACATCTCATACATGCCAGGAGACCCGAATGCTAAACTTGAACCTGCAGGAGAGGCAGGAATACACTCAGAATCACATGCTGAAAAGATCCTGAATGAGGGGACTGCAGGCACCATTCTCGATATCAGAGTCCTGTCAGAAGCCACTGGGACTAAGGTTGTTATTCTAACAGAGGACAGCCATGGCAGACTTACCAAGATGCAGGAGCTGAGCCCAGGAGCTAAAGCCACCAGTCAAACTGTGACACTGATCTACAGACCAAAGAGTGTCCAACACCCAGACGGCCATTATGACGTGCGCATCAATAACCAGACAGTAAACATAGACAGCGAGAGCAAGAGCTGCCTGTTTCACGCTTTGGCACGAGGCATGAAACCAGAGGCCAGTGAAGAAGAGATCGCTTTAGAAGCAGACCGCCTCCGATCTGTGGAGGCCGACACTCTCCTCAGACATCCAGGCCAATGGGAGCCTTTCATCAAGCGCAAAGAGTGGACTGAAGCAATCAGAGGAGGGGACTGGTACATGGCAGAGGGAGCAGGAAGAAACAACAAAATTAAAGAAAGCAAAAAGAGACTTCAGCAAGAGGTTGGAAAAGTAGGACGTTACAAAGATTTGCAAAAAAATGAAAAGCTAAATCCCGGACTTGGACAGTTCATCAATGCAGATCACTGGCCACCAGTAAGTTGTTTATTAGAAGCTAGAAAACTGAACCAGAATAGCATATTAGCTACAGCCTTTCTTAAAGTGGGAACAAACTCATCTCCTCTGGATCCCAACCTGATTCCTGATGTGCACAAATATCATGGCCGTGAACTTCCAGCTGTTTATGTGCCAAAAGAGGTGCATCTTGAGTTTCCCAGTACAAAATCAAAACAATTCAGAACATGCTTAGCGACCTACATCAGCATGGATGATGTTGTGGGCGCCTTCAAAGTGATGACCCTTGGTTCAATGCCGAGAAGTAACTTGAATAGCAACAAGAACTTCAAAGACTTTCAGGACAACCAGAAGTCTAAAACCAGGCTTGACGTTTATGGAAAGAGTTTTGAGAAAGTCAGTCTAAAGATGGTAAATACGTATTTCAACCTGCTTCGAGGAGTCATGACAGAAGACCACTGTACCACCCTTACGAGCTGGATCAAGAACAACGGCTACAATAATCCAAATGATCCACACAGGAAACTAGTGTCCAACCTCCAATTATGAAAAGGTAACATCACATATAATTTGAGTCTAAAATTAAGCACAAACCGCTTTCACTTAGGAGTGTTTATCGTATAAGAATAGTTAATAGTTAAAGGGTGGGAGGTTCATGGCGTAGCCTGTACCTGCTGGCTATGGCAGAAGGCCCAGATTGATGAGAGAGCAACTAGCTCAGCTGATGCAGGAAGCAGAACCCAATGGACCTCCCACTCTAGCAGTTGCAACTACCATGATGGTAAAACAGATAACTAGGCTAATAACCCCTGCCACTGCGCGGGCACCTGCAGTTTTATGAACATAGTTTTGTATATATATGTTATTTATTTTCTGCACAGTCACAAAATGATAAATGCTTATTGCCACAGAGGAGTGCAGCCACTTCCTCCTGAATCTGTGGGACTTAAAAGGTACACATTAAGATATCACTCAAGTTTACACTATGGTGAGCAGTTGACCAAAGTGGATTTGTCTTTTCTTTACAGTGTATTGACACCTGGGAATGTTACTGATCAACCAGTGAAAGTTCATCATCAAGCATCAAGAGACCTCTCTGACGATGTATCATGAGGATCACTTTTCCTTTGGTTTGATTTTAAATCAAACATAGACTGTGCCATTGGACAGACTTTTCACAAACAACATAACTGTCAATGTGCCTATTTTACACCCCAACAGTTCTGCCTTTGGCCATATGATTCTCTGGTAGTGAGTTGTAAATATCTCCACTGAAATGTTCTACGTTCTGTCCATTTGTCCTGGTGTGTCTGGAAATCTAGGAGCAATGGTACGTGGTTAGGACAGAAACATACATTTAAATAGAAATTAGACAAAGTCCATGTTTAAACAATCTATTGCTGTAACTAATGATAATTTGTCACTAGAACGTTGTCAGTGGAGAACATCACCCGTACTAATTACTGTAAAAGGTCATAATAATCTTCCTACCATATATTTAGGGTTCCCCTTTTTCCAAAGATGCAGTTGTTGAGCAGCCACAGCAGGCTAATATAATTTTTAAATTTAAATCAGGTCTGTGCTGTTTTATAGTGAGGACTCACAATGTTTGATTTTAGCTTCTTGGATGCTTCAGTGAAGTCTGAATCCTGACTATAGGTAAAACAATCTAAAGTTAGAAAACCTCAGTCTGTAATGGGAAAAGATTTAGGATGTGTCTTTAATGAGGACCCCTGGTTTGTTTGTTTTTACAGTACAAATCTTTTTTTCACTGTTTTAAAGAACAAAACTTCAAATAGTGGACTATAAATTATTCCACAGTTTCCATATGTGCTTTGATTATCAATTTGATTCACCATTTTTTCAGCCATACATATTTCCTCATGTGTGCTGAACTGCTACATTAATTTCTGTTGTTTTTTAATAAGAAATATCTTCATGTATCCTCACAGTTCAGCATCCATTAATGGAAAAGACTTTTACGGTCAGACATACCTTTTAAATTGATTCTGTCATCCAGAGAAAGTGAGGTAAATCTTTTTATTTTCCTTGTTCTGTGCTCAACATTTCTTACTATATTTTATCACTATCTTCTCATAGTGTGCTGATTGTGTTGCCTCAACAACTAGAAAAATATAATCAACCATATGTATCAATTAATGGAGCAAGCTAGCGACTAGCTAACTTTTGTCAACTTTCAATTTATATGTACTTTATTATACAAGCAAACACATTTTCTATTGGTGTGAGCAGCTGCAGGGAGCTGCCGAGAAACATTTAAAAATATGTTGTGACTGTCACGATCTGGCTCTTGGACCATGACAAATACGGAGACACACCATGTTGAAAATATAACAAAGTCATTTATTTTTAACAAAGGATGAGCAATAAATCTAAATAGAACGTAAAACAAAGCATGTCGTGTGAAAATCAGTCAAGTCAGTAGTGACGGGTGTGAGTGAGGGAAAGTATGGTGGATGTAGAGGTGTTGAAGTGTAGAAATAAAACAACGGAGCCACTTCCCTGAAGGGGGACGCCTCTGCTGACGGGGAAAGAAGAGAGCGAGTTGCTGCACTACTGCAAGGCTGAAGTAATCGGCCCACATCGGGCCCTCAGGTGTTCAATGAATGTACAAGAAAGTTACACAGTAGAGCCCCAAAAGGGGTCGGCACCCAGAGTCATAGGTTTGGATGTGATTGTGATTGTGTGGGTTTTGTTTGTGTATTTCTCTGCTGTTGGACAGCTGATTGGGCTGGAGAGCACCTGCTTAGAAAGGAATCATGTGGATGCTGGGGTCCTACTAGAGGTCTTCTGTGTTAAGCCGTGCTGAGCAAACCTGTTGGTAATTAATTTAGTAAAGAAACCAGAGTTACATGATAAGACAAAGTAAAAAAGTGCAGTCCTTGAAACCTGTAGGGGGGAGCAGCCGGTTTAGTTTAATCCTGTTTCCTCCTGTATTCTTTTGTATTCTTTGTTAGGGCAGCTAGTAGTGAAGGGTATGAGTTGCTTTTGTTTTGACTTCATAACCTGTGGCATTGATCATTGCTGGGAGTGGGAAAAGGGGGGAGACACTGCTGCACTCCAGTTTCCCCTAGGCCGCTATAACAATATATTTTAAGAGTTTGATATATAGATTAATAATAATAAAATATCTCAATCCTTACTCTACAAAGATACCATAGATTGTTCAGTTTTGTGAATCTCATTCAGTGTGGGGGGGTCACTAAGATCAGTGCATCACTGCTTCAGTTCTTCCAAAAACAGACGAGATCATGAATGACCAGCAGGGGGAGCTAAACCTGCTGCTGTTGTAGCGTACACTCCCAGAAGAAGACAGGAGCTGAGCTAAAGAGTTAAAACAGTCTCCAAAGTGTTTTTACTGAGCTGTAAAACACTGTGCACAAATGCATCAGTAAATCTGTGTCTGGTCCTCTGATTTACAACTCGTAGATCATCATTTGGACGTCACTTTAGTATTTTTCAATGGGAATATATTTGTGAATCTCCACCTGTTGTGCGACTGTTTAACACTGTTGTGTCAGACAAAGTTCACTAATGCAGGGCTTTCCAGCAGATCACTGTAATATAACATTTATGGAAAACAACAGCTCACTCCTTCAAATCTCATATTACTACAATTTTTGCACAGTGGCCCCAACACTCCTCAGCCTTTAGGTTTATGTTATTCTCTCGCTAATCTGCAGCTGTTAACTGTTTGTGTAGCAAATATATTGACTAGACACCGACAAGCAACAGTGATTATACACATTTTTTAAATTAAAAAGTATTGCTGAGGACAGTTCAGTAGTCACTCAGTCCTGAAGCTGTAACCACTGCTCGCTCTCTCTCTCTCTCTCTCTGGTGCTCACTCTGAATGCAGGCATGCTGAGTAATGTGGAGTGATTTTCCATCTGCTGCTTGGACAGAGGACCAAACATATCATATTACTTTAAAGGGCTTTAATGCAGAATGATAAATAAACACACACTCACGCAATTCCCTAATATTTCCTACTGGAGGACTGTATAGAAGATGATGAGTTACTAAAGAACAGACTGGGAGATCTGATATTAATGAATCATTAATGATTAATTCATGAATATCTGAGAAATAATCATACTGACCACTTTCTATAATGTCCTCCATTATCAGGGTTGTACTCTTTAACAATTCATCAACAATGAATTAATCCCTGATTTGTTCCTCACTTGTTTCATAATTATCTAATCATTAAGTAAACATTAGCTACTCTATAAATTGCTGTCCTCATTTATTCCCTGGTAATTACTGAATATGTTGTGTAACCTTATTGTAAAGTTGCTGAAAGACGAGCTCTTTTTCAGACTGCTCTGTAAACAGATGCATGTGGGAACAGATGATCTGGCTGCAGGATGTGGATCACAGTTTGTAGAAGTTTCCCATCAAAGCGCTTTCCAGTGGATGAGGCTGAAGCTTCTAGATGCTGTAGAAACTTCCTCATGAGCTCACCTGACATGTTGTTTGTTCCACAATCAGGAGCTAAAAATATTTGGTTTTGATTTTTTGAGCGTGTGTTCATGATGATTACGGAGCATCATAAAGATTTAACGAGGTAAACAGAAACCAAGGCAGCTTTCATGTCTGCAGCTTTGTGAAACCTCAGAGGAGCGACCTGCTGCAGTTAGTAACACAAAGAGTGACAAACTGCTGAGCCTTAGTGCTGATAACAGGTCAGTGCACCAGGGAGGGCCGAATGTAAGAAGGGCCTCACCTCATCAGCTACACATCTTTCATCATGGCCTCCTCCTCAGAGAGGGGAGCTCCCGGTGAACTGAGAACTTCTTAAAGCTTGAATATTATAAATATACTGAATTCCTTGGATTTAAGCGGACAACGGTTTTAATGATAAACTTTATTTATGTTGCACTTTTCAAAACACATTACAAAGAGCACAAAAACACAGACTTAAAGACTTGAGGCTGGTGTAATTTTATAATTTTCTTAATGTCAAGAAATCTCCAGAAAACAGTCAGTCCATCTCTCAATGCTGTCTTACTTCCCAATGCTGTATCGCAGTGCAGCAGTGAGGCTCACTGATACTTTAGTAAAAGTACAGCTACTGTACGTCCAGGTACAGCGAACGTCCCGGTAAGTTGGCGCAGATCCCACGTGCCTTGTAAAAGCGGATTCTATTGTGACACTCTGGCCTCTTCAAGGTTTTGTTGTTTAGCTAATGTTAGCTTGTTGGCTATTGTGTTCAAGCCAATTTCAAATAGTTCTTTTCAGAAGCTTTACACTGTAAGCTAATGGTAAATTTTCCTTAGTTCATGAAACTTTAGCTATCTGAAGATGGAGTGGAAATGTAAATATTGTGGTTTTATTAGTGTGAAGAAGGCGCAGCTATTTAAACACTACCGGTTAAAACATGGAAGTTACACAAGGACAATACCATTTCCTTGTTTGCACCAGGACTGTTTGTGCACATTCAATTCCTTAAACAGCCTTAAAGCGCACATATCTCGTGTTCACTCTAAAACTCATGAGGAACAACCAGGAGAAAATGAACCTGTCAAATTCTGCTGTCAGTTGTGTGAATTCATTGAGCCCTGCTCTGAAACTGAATTTTTCACCCACCTCCGAAACAGACACTTGAAAGTGAAGTAACAGGTGGGGTCCAGTTGGTAAATAGCTCTGCTGTGTATTATTGTTTGTGTGTGTGCACACAGTGTTCAGGATAACATATGGACCCTATTTTAACTGTGTGATGTCCTCTCTGCTCCCTCAATCCACCAGGCTTCAGGATGTGACAGAAGTCAGATGCCTTGTCTGGAAGCCTTGTGGGCTTCCTGTCCTTCTTGGCGATGATCCATCCGCCTTCTTCAAGGCCTGCTTTGTAAGCAACTTTGATTTTTCTCTACCTCCCTTTACCTCCTCTCCCTTGTGTTAATAGTTTCTTTTTTTTGGTTATTGTTCGAAAAAAAAAAACCTCTGGAGGAGGCATACTCTAAAATTGTGACCTGTGTTCACTAGGGGTGGAACGGTACACACACATCACGGTTCGGTTCTGTACATTAGAGGGAAAAGCAAAACAAAAATGCAGAAGGCTTTTTTAAAATTTTTTATTGTGCATGTCTCAGGCTGTACCACCTAAAGTCATTCAGTCTCTCCCCTGAACTAGCTGCAACATCTTACTTTATAGTGTGTAAAGTAAGATGTAAACAATAAGTACCCTACATCATCTCCAGACTCCATGGGCTCGCTTTCCGGGTTTACAATCTTTGTGCACTGTGCACGGCACCAGTCTGGTGCAGAGCGCATAAACACAATGTGTTGCTGTTTACCTCTCTGCAGTGTTCGTGTGTTTGTTTTCAGATCAGACACGCGGGGCTACAGATTAGGTGTCCCAAAAAAACCCCGCGTATCTAACAGTAGGTTCGCATTACATAAATAATTTACACCCAAGTTTTATTTATTTTTATACTGTGTTTATTCTGTAAATTCATGTCCCGAACTGAGACACCTGTACCATTTTGGTTCAATACGAACACATGTACCGTTCTACCCCTAGTGTTCACCCCAGATAATTTGTGGATGCTTCTTTGCACCTGTCCTGCAAGATTTTCTGTAGCGGTCGCTGCACTGGGCGCTGCACTGGGCAGTGGGTGGACAATGGATAGGGCTGACATATTGGCTGTGTACCTATAGAGGGTGTTTGTAGCACTATATTGTCATGTTGATTTGATCATGCCCGGTTCCTTTTTTCAGAACGTTGATGATGAGGAAGGTTCGTACAATGATGTGCCAGTGGGAATCCTGTGCCATGAACAGCAAAACATCACTCCACACACCCAGTCTCTTCACCACAATGCATCCTCAGTGGGAATCATCTTGGAGGGAAACATTGTGATGGATGTTGAGAGCCTGCCCCAGGCCATGTACATCGTCTTCGGACTTACCTATGCACTGCATCTCAACTACACAAAGTACATGAAGAACACTTCCAACAGGTACTTCTGAACTTAGGTAAGACAGATCTGAAACCTAAACTTCAAACACTTAAGAATCAGCTTGCAATGTAAGATCCAACATCTCTTCTTCTCAAGTCTTCAAATGTGAGTTTTCTTAAAAAAATGTATTAACTGGCAGTGAAGAGAGAGGGGGTAAGGAGGGAAGGACAGCCTAAAAATGTTACATGGTGGATAGAGAAAGCATGGGGGGTCGTGAGGAGGGGAGATAGAGGGAGGAGGAGGGGAGATTATGGGCTCTAGATGGGTATTTACTGTCAGTTTTATTTTTCACCCTTATTCTGTCTCATGTTTTTTATTTTATCCAGAGAAACATTTTTTGTTAATGATCGAGTTCACAATTGCCAAGATGGAGGAGGGG